AAATCTCAACTAAGAGAAAGATCTAATGCACATCTATTCTGAAACATATCTGATGCTACTTGTCATTGGCAAGTTCTGGGTCTTTTGGTATGTGTTGCCAGTTTCAATATCTCAAAGACTTTCTTGTCAAAATTTTCCATTTCTGTTTGTCACTACAAATATATTACCTATTCTAGAATGCAGAATTTTCTTTTTGATGTAAACATATTTCAACAAATAAACTGCCTAATCCATAAATTTTCTTTACTCCTAAGGAAAGGAACTTGCAGTTAAATTAGGAGCAGACTCAAAGAATGTTTGGCAAATGTTTGGCTTTCTGAAAACTGTTAATTTGAATTAATGAAAAGCCTAATTCATAAAACAGCCTTTCAGGAATACATGTTTTAGTAGTCTAGAGTTTAACAAGAGCAATGTGAGTGTTAAAGTGCTTTTGATAGCAGCTCATCTTAGACCTGCCTCAAGCAGATTGAACGAAATCAATGTTTTCTTCTACTTTCTCCTATAACTAGTAATACTCTCCCTTAAAATCTCCTATACACTTTAGTTGTCAAAGGATTATAACCTTTGAGTGAGAAGATATTTTAAACACCATCCAACTCTACTACATACTCATACTTGCAATCTTACTATCACAGTCTTCATGGTCATTTTGCTACCTGGTCACTGACTTGCAGGTAGTATTTCCCTTCAACATTTGGGAAAAAATTGTTAAAAATTTTGAAGGGAACTATTCCTGAGTAAATGTCTAGATTATTTGACTTATATTATCTTGGAGGGTATTCTGCATGTAACTCCCTTCCCCAGAGGATAGACTTTCAGTTGACTTAAATACTGTCATTAGTTTTATAATCCACCCACCTTTCTTCTCCCAAGTCTCCTTCCATCAAATAGTCCTAGTTTCTTCTATATTGTTTCCAGCCTCTTTGCTTTTCTTGAATCTACTCATTAATTATACCATCATGACTCAATCCCAGTTGTTTCTGGAAATTTTTAGTCAATACATTCATAAGTGTATTAATATCTAGAATATAATGTGCAGTGGGCAGATCATCTCTAAAGTCTATAATTTCTCCTAGCCTCCTCAAGATCCTTAGACCAGAGACAACTCTGTCGAAAGAAGTCATTTTAATTCCCCCTTAAATTTCACTCCCAGTGACATGCTCTGATCTCTTTTCTGTGCCTTGAATTCTCCTTCTAGTCTGGGCTGCATTTGTAAAATTCAAAATGAATGAGCTTGGAATTAAAATGAGGCTTTGCTTCATTCAGTAAGGCTGAGTCACTGATGAATACAGTATCAAAGCTTATCTGTGAAAAGACTGAACTGTTGACTTTGAAGTTGTTAAAAATGTGTGTCCTTTGAGAAGTTATATTCCAGTAGAGTTTAAGTCATAGAGTACAGAGTGTGGAGTAATTAGTTTCATATACTAAATGATAGTGATCTTAATACCACACATTGGAATCACTAGTATTCTTTAAAAATGTAGTTTATTTAAATACAAGAGTAAATGGTGTGTGGGAAATAATTTTAATATAGACTTGGTGAATGAAGATATATAAATTATGCATTAATCCTTCCTCTCCTATGCCGAATCAAGTATTGCATTGGTTGAATTCATTCAAAGTCACTTTAATATACATTTTAAAAATAAATGACATATGAAAGTAAATGTAGTAGAAGTGGGAATTTAGCTGGCCAGCTGACAGGTTTAGGCAAATAACTAAAAGTGAAATGTAGTGATGCTTTGCCAACTTAAAAGTTCCACAGTGAATTCAAGACAAGAATAAGGGCCTGAACCAATTATTTTAATGTTGATATTTGTTCTGCTTTTGAAAACTTGTATTTCAAGACAAGTATTTCTGTTTTTGCTTCATTTTGTTCCTGGGAACAGTCCCAGCCAGCACCATAGAAAGTGAAGCTTAGACTTGGTTATATTGCTTCCCTTACTTTGCAGACTGGGTGCAGTAGTTTTTATGCATGTCCATGATCTCTTAATTATGTGTCTGAAACTAGAAAGTTCTAGAACTTTCTTTAAATTTGAGACAAATTCATGTGATGCCACCCCTGACCTAAACTAATGTAAAGTACACTGCAAAGGTTACTGCAGTAATATTGTTCCATTAAGGGGTTTGAAATTATATATAAATATATATATATATATAATTTTGTTATTATTATATTATATATATACTTTATATATTATATTATGTATATAAAATTTGTATTCGCCATATGCATTTGTCCCTCATTATGACTTTGCATCAAGAACACTTACATTAAACACACATGTTCTCACAGTTTCCTATTAATCCTGTGAAGCTTTCATTCTGAGTTAGTTTAGAGGAATAAATTGAATCTGCTAAGTAAAACATCTGTGCTTTATGTGTATCATGCTAGTGCTTTTGTCTTGAGGGAATAAACTCAGTGGTCACTTTGTTTTCTTACAGAAATTTCAAAAAATAATCTAGTAAATAGGAACTCTATCCAGAAATATCCCAAAGTAAATCCAGAGCCTACTTTAAGTTGATAATATCAGGAAGACTAACTTCTTACAAGAAGCCACAAACAAATACATGCACAAATGAATATTAGGAAATAGCCTTTTACTGGTAAATAACAATCTTCGATCCAAATTGGATTTTTAATCCCTCAATCCACCACCCAGTATTCTCAGCATTTCAGATGTGTTAAATTATAATTGAAAGATTGCTTGAGGGAAATTGAGGCCAAATTTGCTTAATCTCTGGATTAGTCTCACTTAGACATATTCCCTTAGTCTTTATTTAGTAACTAAAGATAACAAACAATTGATTCAATTTAAAGGTACTTTGCATAAGTATGTAGTTATCACTGGCACTTAAAAGGAGTTCTGCAAAGAAATGTAGAGAAATACAAGCACCAAATACAGGCTTCCTCCCTTTCCTTGTAAGAGAAATATGTACACATTTCCCCAACAGATATAGTCCCCTATTTCTTGTGCTTTCGTCTAATGTCTTGGTGTATTTGGCAGAGAAAGTGCTTGTGGATAGCATTTACTTGGCAGCAAACAATTTAAGATGAGTCTTTGTTCTATGAAAGAAAACCTAGGAGATTAAAGGACAACACTTTAGGGATTGAAGTTATAAGTGGTGAAAAGGGTTCTCTGTGTTGAATGGTGGCTGATGAGGAGCCCATGCTGCCATAAAAGGATCTCATTTCTTCCCTAGGAGCAGGGAAGGAAATCTTCATCCCAGTGATGAGAGCCACAGTGTTGAAGAAGAGCTCTGCTGAGGGTGTGGGATGCTATAGCTTCAGGCAAGGAATAAAGGTCTATGCTTCTAGAGTCCTGCACAAGAGAATTCTTGAAATGTCTTTATCTTAGGTTTGAAGATGAGCCAGAGAATTAGGTGACCCCCAAGGTCAGGGCATGGACTCTTGTTTGAACTTTTTGCCTCAGATTTGAAGAATGATAAGTGAGAAAGCCAAGAAAATTGCAGTAGAGTGTGAGCTGAGAAGCACAGGGGTGGGTGGGGTGACAAGCAAAAGGGGGAACCAGACTTAGTATCACAAGCAAAATGCACTGGCCCCAAGCCTATACCCTACTTTGAGTTCAATTGATCTCCGAAGGAAGCCAGGGTTGAAAAGATTCACAGAGATGAAAACCCTCCTCAAATTTTGTTTTTGTTTTTTGCTTTTGCAGTTGTTGTTTTTGTTTTTATGGATTTTTTTTCTGTACAGTTCATAATAGAAAGAAGAGCAGAACTCAATCCAAAGAAACAAGAGACAAAGAGATGGAAAATCCCTGTTGTGGCCCAGAATGCCATAGGACTGTTGATTCAGTGCAGTGCACAGAGAGTCAATGATTGGTAATGAAGAGCTGATTCCCAACAAGGGCAGAGTAGCAGATGGTGTAACTCTTCAGATATTTTGTTTGATCAGCTTTACACATTTAAAAATCAATCATTGGAGATAGTTGCCTTACATCCTTGATAAAAGTTTCAAAGCATTTACAAAAATGATAGTGAAGAACACAAAGAAGTACATTTTCTCATTTCTTTACTCCTGGATCCAACAGACCCTTGGAATAATGTGGACTGAGCACAGCTCCTTTAAAGGAGCTAGGGTACCATATTGCCAGATGCTAGTCCCCGCCATGAGGTCTAATCAAGTCCCTCCTTGACCCTGGGCCTTAATTTCCTCCATTAAAAGGAAAATTGAAGTTAGCAGTTCTTAGAAATATGACTATATTGGACTATACTCTGCTGTGGGATAATGCTCTTGTACACTGTAAAGATTTATCACTCATATTGGCTTAATAAAACGCTGATTGGCCAGTAGCCAGGCAGGAAATATTAGTGGAGCAATCAGACTAGGAAAATGCTGGAAAGAGGAAAGACTGAGACACAGTCTCCAGCCAGACAGAGGAAGCAAGATGAGGATACCTTACTGGGGAAAGGTATCATGCCACATGCTTAAACATAGATAATAATTATGGGTTAGTTTAAGTTGTAAGTGGTAGTTAGTAATAAGCTTGAATAATAGGTGAATAGTTTATAATTAATATAAGCCTCTGTGTGTTTATTTGGGACTGAATGACTGTGGGACCAGGTGGAACAGAAACTTGTTTACAATACTCCAAGAACATAGGAATGGCAGCAAGATAACAATAAAAATGAAATATTAAGTGAAATAAATGGGAAATTTAAACATCTAAGTCTCAGTCTAGTTTGTATCCATAAGGTATGAAACCGCCGCTGAAAGTTTCCACGTGGAATATGATGGTGGGGAAGCTTTCCTGGGAGAAAAGAAGCTGTGCTGGGTCAAAGTGCTTGGTTCTGATCAAATCTTTGACGTTGGCCCTGCCACTGGGCTCCTGGTGTCCTATACTTTGTCTCTGTTGGTTGGGATCCTGTGTTCTATTCTGCCTTCAGCTCACACATTAGTAAGTCTTTATGTTGAATGGGCCTGTTTCTTTCTAGTCTGAGACCAGATGAGGCAATAAATGATGTCATTTTTCTTTCAGCCCACTCTTGGCCACACCACAGCCTCCACCTGCGGTGGGGTCTGGCAGCTCCAGTGAGTCAGAGAGCAGTTCAGAATCAGACTCAGACACTGAAAGCAGCACTACTGACAGTGAGTCCAATGATGCTCCTCGAGTAGCCACCCCAGAGGTGAGTGAAGTTGTCAAGGCCCCAACATCCATCTATGTGCTGAGCATCAGGTAGCATGCCACATATATCACTAATCTAAGTACTTGAGTATAGTAGCTACTTCAGAGAGGTAGCCAAAGCCTTGATGAGATTATTTCTCTAAAGCACATATCTGTATATGTCCTAATATATATAGATTCATTTTGTGTGGCTCAATCTGTGTTGTACAGATTGCTTGCTGTATGTCTGATTTTCTGTGAGAGTCACTTAGCTAGTCTGAGCCTCCAGTCTCATCCTACAAAAAATAACTAGTACATTAATGATGGAGCTTACAATGATTTTTTTTAAGTGAAGAAACAAAGCCAGTCATGACCCACTTCTGGGTCTGAAGATTCCTACCCTTAACTCTATTTTTAATTCATTAAAGTGATAAATGGATCCTAAATGAGGAAGACTTGAGATATATGCTTTTACATAAAGGTAAAACAGCACTCAAGTAGTCATATGCTCCTTATTTCAATTTACACTGTGTGTCTGATAATAATAAGTCATGGAATGTTTAGCCTAGCACCACAGAACACCAGAACAATTAACTTTAAAATAGAATAATTAGATTTTTCCCTTCCCATCCTCTATGAGTTTAAGATAAATGCTTTGGCTTCCCGAGTCTGCATATGGTACAATAAGGAAATTCATCTCCTGGCTCCTTATGCATTTCTTTTTCAATAACCAAAAAAGAGGAGGCAGTAGTCATTTTATTGCTGTTAAAAATAGCAAATGCTGTGTTGGACACTTGACTTACATTTTCTCATTTCCTCTTGCTAACAACCCAATACTGTATTCTCTCTTACTATAGTCCATTTTATAGGTGACAATGTATGTTTATGTGAAGTTAAACCAAAACTGCCCCCAAGCTCTCATAGTTATACAGTAGTAAAGCTGGGACTGAAACCCAGATCAGTAAGCTGCCAGAGTTAGTTTTAGCCCTGGAGCTACACTGCTAAGAATAGCAGCTCATATAGTTTTCTTCATACTTACCTGCTATTATCTTCTATAGGCTGGGATCACAGCTACTTAATTCTTTTTAATTCTGCCATCCTCTATTTACTGGTGCCACATGTTTGGTGGCTTTCAGAAGAAGAGATCTTCTAATAAAAATGATGGCTTTTATTTAACTGGTAGAATTCAGAGTTGAATATCAAGAGCCTGAACTGAATACACCATTTCTATTGCTTAACAGTGAATGTTAATGCCTACACATACGCAACCCCATAAATCGATTGTTGCTCATGTATTTAGGAAAGTGTGGTGGTTTGAGGGAGTCAATTGTTTTAATCCTTCAGTAAAAACACAAAGATAGTGTCGTTTTCAATGAATGACAGCATTGTGTAGTAGATCCTAGTGTTTCTGAAGATGGAAAGTTTTTCTTTCTGAACACGCTCGAAAGACACTTAGATTTCTTTTCAGGGTTAGACACCATTACCTCTGTCTCCTGGTAATAGGTTGATCAATGATTCTTAGCAAAAGACTTCGGGAACAGAGTTCTCTCTCAGGAACCCTGGGCGACAGTCTTAAGCATCTCCTTGAGGAGAACTACTTTGTAGCTAGAGTAGAGAATATTTTCAAAAGGACAATAGAAACTGGTGCTAAATAAACAGACTTTGGTTGATTTGTACCTGGATGGCTTTTATCTAGTCAGATGCAAATGGAAACCAAATCACTCTTTCAATCTTCTCCGAAAGTATGTTTCTCAATGATGGGGTGTGTGTGTGTGTGTGTGTGTGTGTGTGTGTGTGTGTGTGTACATGTGGATTGTCACTTAATATTAAAGGTCATCTGTTTGTTTTTGTTTACAAGGTCTCAGGTAGCTCAAAATAGCCACAAGCCCAAAATTGATATGTACGCCAAAATATCTTTGAAGATTTGCTCCTCCTCCAGAGCCACACCTGGTTTATATGGTTCTAGGAATGAACCCCAGGACTTCATGCATGCTAGGCAATTATTTTACTAACTACATTCCTAGCCCACATCATCCAACATTTTGTTAGCAAAGAGCCACTACACAGAAAGTCCCCCTAAAGTGTTCACAGATACAAAATTCATACTTGTTACTGTTCCTCAATTTGCAGCCTGAGCCACCCTCCACCAACAAATGGCAGCTAGACAAATGGCTGAACAAAGTCACATCCCAGAACAAGTCATTTATTTGTGGCCAAAATGAGACACCCATGGAGACCATTTCTCTGCCTCCTCCAATAATACAACCAGTTGAAGTCCAGGTCAAAGTGAAACCAAACCCCAGCCAGACAGTGGCTGGACCCAAAGAAAGGCCCCTCCTTGGCCTAATTAGGGAGAAGGTTCGACCTAGGCCCACTCAGAAAACCCCAGAAACAAAGGCTTTGAAGCATAAGTTGTCAACATCAATTGATACAGTTTCTCAAAGGACAATTGGGAAGAAACAGCCCAAAAAGGTTGAGAAAAATACCTGCTTTGAGGAGTTTACCTGGCCCAAACCAAATATTACCAGCAGCACTCCCAAAGAAAAAGAAAGTGGAGAGCTTCCTGACCCGCCGCGAAGCCGCAACAAAGTCACCGCCCATAAACCAGTCCCTAGGAAAGAACCAAGGCCCCATGCCTCTTTGGCCACTGAGAAGAAGAAGTATAGAGGGCCTGGAAAGATTGTACCAAAGTCTCGGGAATTCATTGAAACAGATTCATCTACATCTGACTCCAACACAGACCAGGAAGAGACCCTGCAGATCAAAGTACTGCCTCCTTGCGTTGCCCCGGGAAATCACACTTCCAAATCCAAGGATCCATCCAGTGCCAGTCTGACCCTTAGCACCTTGACCACCACCACCAGCAGCAGCAGCAGCAGCAGCAGCTTATCCACCAGCAATGAGGAGACAGCTTTTTCACCTCCTCCTGCCATGCAAACTGAGCTTTTGTCCCCACTACGGGAACACGAAAATCCGAAAAACCTCTGGGTGAAGATTGACCTTGACTTACTTTCGAGAGTACCTGGCCAAAACACAGTCCCAGCAACACCTGCCAAGACAGAGCACAAGGAGACTGTCTCAAAACTCAAGCGTCAAACTGCTGCTACCGCTGTGGAAAAGCCAGTCCCTAAGGGCAAGCGTAAGCACAAGGTGAGTTGCCCAGTGGAGGCTTGTGCGAGTTCTAAGTGGTCTTAAAATTCAAAACCCAGTGTTAGATGCTGAAAGATGGGAGAAGAAGTGCAGCCAGCCTCTTAGAGAGACCTTTTACCTCTGCTGAATCCTCAAACCAAAGTGGGCAAGATCCTGTCTCCAGGAATCCTCTGAATGAATGTTCTGAGCTCTCGTCTTCTCCTGCCTTGTAGTCCTCTCTCTGCCCAGCCATATCTCTTTTTGTCTCCACCTCCCTAGTCTGGGATTAGAGATGTGAGCCACCACTGCCTGGCTCTGTTTCTCTTTTAGACTAGATGATCTCGTGTAGTCCAGGCTGGCCTTGAACTCACAGAGATTCCTCTGCCTGCCTCAGCCTTTTGAGTGCTGGGATTAAAGCTGTGTGCCACCACTGCCTGGCCTCTACTAGCTTAGCTCTGTACTCTGCCTAGGGCAAGCTTTATTTGTTATATCACAAACAAAATATCTCCACAGAGTCTGCCAGGTGGCTGTGAGAAGAGTCTAACTTCATCTGTAGTCTTGTTTTTAAGGAGACCAATGGCAGGGGACCACAAGCTTTGGTAAAGGAAATGTAATTTTCTAAGAAATTTCATGCTTGGCATATGACTACAGTGTTAGGAATGATCAAGGTATGACGGGAGCCATTGGCAAAGATAGCTGTTAAGGAATATGAGAAATAATGACATATAAGAAATAAGAGTACAAAAAAGATCTTCCCAAAGGTAGTCAGTCCCAGAAGTCAGCTTCTTAAGTCGCTCCTAATGCAAGTAGCTCCTATATTAGGTCTTACAGTTTCCCACGCCAGCATCAGCAGGGGGCCTGTCTGCCTACAATGGCCAAGTGCATCTTCTGCTCTTGTTCGTTTCTCTGAAAACATATTAATGTACTAATGAGTCAGCTATTCTGGGGCATCCTGGCATCAGCCACAGGAAGGCTTTAGAAAGCCTTCTAGGATTACTGACCTGTTTGAAGGACTACTCTGTGAAAATCTCACCTAAACATGCTTTGGTTTCAATTCTAGGCCTAAATAGTGTCACCAGAAGGGAAATCCAAAGTGACTTTTACCAATTAAAATATGTCTAGATATGAGTTTATGACTAATAAACTCTTTTTTATTTATCTCTATATTTTGGGTTGTTTTCGGAATCACATCCTCTTGTGGTGCTATTTTGCTAGTAATAAGCACCATAGTAGGTAGTGGTACACCTCCTAATCCTTTCTGTATTCCCTCTGTTTCCCTCCAGGAGGGTGTCTTGAGTTTGGTCATTGCTCATTTTGTTAAGAGAAAACCTGTAGACAATAGTGACTTATTAAAGAGGGCACTCGAAGAGTCTTCATTCCTTTGTAATTAAGGAGTTGAAAAGTAAAAGAGACTAGAGGTGACTAAAACCAAGTAAATATCAGAAGAGAAAGGTATGAGAACAAGGAACATTAAGGCACAGGGGAAAGACAGAAAAAAAAGTCTGTGGAATCATGGGTGGACTGAAAAGTGCTGAAGAACAGAAACTGCTAGGTGAAGAGGGAGTTTAAGGGACTGAGTGTGACCTTAGAGGGAAAGGAATCCTGAGAGCACTGGGAGACACTAAGACAGAGAAATCCGAGGAGGAAAGGTCTGGTAGAAGATGGCAAAAGAGCCCTGGGACTCTGGGGAGCATGAAGATGATAGGCTGTTAGAAGACTGCCGAACATAGGATATAGATAATACTAAACTGGGGAGCATGAGGGGATAAGGGATAACTTGTACGTTACATAGTGGTGTAAAACTAAGGGTTACTAGAAAATAGCAGCAAGTCCCTGGGATTTGTTGAAATATTGACAAGTCATAGAACAATGAGAAACTAAAGCTCTAGAACAAAGGAATGCGGGGAAACTAAGGACACTAGCAGGTAGATAGGCACAAGGAAAGGGAATGAGAAGACAAAGGGCCTGTCCAACTGATGAGCCATACTGATATGGAGGTAGAAGAGACAGGGAGTGCTAGGAGACAGGGAAGTACTCAAAAAAAGAGAGAGATAGACTACTCCAGAGAACTCAGAGAAAGGGGGCACCAACACATGAGGGTGTACAGAACCTGAGGAATGCTAGAAAACAGGGGAGGGATCAGAAAGAAGAGAATGCTAGGGGCAGTGGCATAATCAGAGAAGGTAAAGTACACAAAGAAGGATAGTGGTCAGGAATAGGAAGTTCTAGGAGACTGGGGAATACTCAGGAAGAAGGAGTGCTAAGACACAGAGGAGTACTGAAGACAGAAGTACTAAGGGACAGGGAGAGCTCAGGGACAGGGATGGGGGGGTGCTCAGAAATGGGGAGTGCTCAGGGACTAGGAGGGCTCAGGGACAACCCAGTGCTAAGGGTTGGGGAGTGCTCAGGGACAGGGAGTACTCTGGGATAGGGAGTACTCACGGACAGGAAGTGCTCAGGGACAGGGTAGTGCTCAGTGACAGGGAAGTATCAGGAATGGGGAATGCTCAGGGACAGGGTAATGCTAAGGGACAGGGGGTGCTCAGAGACAGAGAGTGCTCAGGGATAGGACAGTGCTCAGGGATGGGGTGTGCTCAGGGACAGGGAGTGCTCAGAGAGAGGACAGAGCTTAGGGATTGGGAGTACTCAGGGACAGGAAGAGCTCAGGGTCTGGGGGTGCTCAGGGATGGGGAGTGCTCATATACAGGATAGAACTCAGGGTTGGGGAGTGCTCAGGGACAGGGAGTGCTCAGGGACAGGGAGTGCTCAGGCACTGCGGAATGCTCAGGGATGGGGAGTGCTCAGGGATAGGGAGTGATCAGGGATGGGGAGTGCTCAGGCACTGGGGAGTGCTCAGTGACAGGGAGTGCTTAGTGACTGGGAGTGTTGAGGTATGGGAGTGCTCAGGGACAGGAAGTGCTCAGGAGTGGGGAGTGCTCAGAATAGGGAGTGCTCAGGGACAGAACAGTGCTCAGGGATGGAACATGCTCAGGTATAGGGACTGCTCAGGGATGGGGAGTGCTTAGGGAAAAGGAGTGCTCAGAGACAGGGCAGTGCTAGAGGACCGCAGAGTGCATAGGGCAGGGGAATGCTCAGGAACAGAGAGTGCTAAGAGACTGGGGAGTGCTCAGGGATGGGGAGTGCTAAGGGATAGGGAGTGCTCAGGGACAGGTCAGTGTTCAGGGACAAGGGAATGCTCAAAGAAGGGTAGTACTCAGAGACAGGGAGTGCTCAGGGATAGGGGGTGCTGAGTGACAGGGAGTGCTCAGGGACAAAGAATGCTCAGGGATGGGGAGTGCTCAATGACAGGGCAGTGCTCAGGGAGAAGGAGTGCTCAGGAATGGGTGTGCTTAAGGATGGGGAGTCCTCACAGACTGGGAGTGCTCAATGATGGGGAGTGCTCAGATATGGGGAGTGCTCAGGGATGGGGAGTGGTCAGGGACAGGGAGTGGTCAGGGACAGGGAGTGAACTGGGATAAGGACAGTGCTCATGGTGGAGGAGTGCTCAGGAAGAGGGAGTTTTCAGGGATGGGAAATGCTCAGGGACAGAGAGTTCTCAGGGATGGGGAGTGCTGAGGGACAGGGAGTGCTCAGGCATGGGAAGTGCTCAGGGACAGGGCAGTGCTCAGGGACTAGGGAGTGCTTAGGAATGGGGAGTGCTCAGGGATAGGAGAGTGCTCAGGGAGGCTGAGTGCTCATGGACAGGGACTGCTCAGGGACAGAACAGTGCTCAGGGTTGGGGAGTGCTCAGGGACAAGGAGTGCTCAGGGACAGGGAATGCTCCAGGACAGGGAGTGCTGAGGGATGGGGAGTGCTCAGGCATGGGGAGTGCTCAGGCATGGGAAGTGCTCAGGAACAGGGCAGTGTTCAGGGACAGGGCAGTGCTCAGGGACAGGGGAGTGCTTAGGAATGGGGAGTGCTTAGAGACAGGGAGTGCTCAGGGATGGGACATGCTCAGGGACCAGGAGTGCTTGGGGTTGGAGAGTGTTCTGGGATGGGGAGTGCTCAGGTACAGAACAGTGCTCAGGGACAGGACAGTGCTCAGGGTTGTTGAGTGCTCAGGGACAGGGAGTGCTCAGGGTAAGGGAGTGCTCAGGGACAGGACAGTGCTCAGAGTTGGTGAGTGCTCAGGGACAGGGAGTGCTCAGGTTAAGGGAGTGCTCAGGGACAGGACAGTGCTCAGAGACAGGGCAGTGCTAAATGGACGTGAATGGCTTAGGGAAGGGGAGTGCTCAGGGATGGGGAGTGCTCAGGGATGGGGAGTGGCCAAGGACAGGGAATGCTCAGGAATAAGGAGTGCTGAGGGTTGGGGAGTGTTCAGGTAAAGGGAGTGCTCAGGAATGGGGAGTGCTCAGGAATGGGGAGTGCTCAGGAACGGAAACTTCTCAGGGACAGGGAATGCTCAGGGAGAGGGCAATGCTCAGGGATATACAGTGCTCAGGGATATGGCAGTGCTCTGGGACAGGGGAATGCTCAGGGATGGTGAGTTTTCAGCAATAGGGAGTGCTCAGGCACCGGGAGTGCTCAGGAACAGGGAGTGCTCATGGAAAAGGAGTGCTCAGGAATGGGTGTGCTCCGAGATGGGGAGTGCTCAGGGACTCTGAGTGATCAATGATGGGGAGTACTCAGGGACGGAGAGTTCTCAGGGACAGGGAGTACTCAGGGATAGGACAGTGCTCAGTTTGGAGGAGTGCTCAGGAAGAGGGAGTGCTCAGGGATGGGGAGTGCTCAGGGACAGGGCAGTGTTGAGAAACAGAGGAACAGGGGAACAGAGGAGTCCTGAGAGACAGTGATTGCTAGGAGGCAGGGTTGTTAGGAGACAAGAAGTTGAGTTACTGGGAACACCAGGTGTGTAATGACAATATTGAAGCTCTAAGTACTTTGAGGCCAGCAAGTAGTGTACTAAAAACAGTTGTAGAGCAGAGCAGATTAAGAGGCTAGTGTCCTGGATTGTAAGAAAATACTTTGAGACTGGGCATTTCTGACACTCTTAAGTCAAGAAACTCTAGGAGAGTGGTAAGCCCTTTGAGACTGGAAACTACTAGAAGACTGAGGGATAGGCAAATCCAAAATACTGGGAGAACATTGGTGTGCTACTAGACCAAAAGGTATTTGAACTATGAGAAACACTTTTCCACTGGGATGCACTATTCTATTGATGGTGGTGACAGACTGCAGAGTACTAGGAGGCAGGCAAATTCCAGGACATGGGAACTGCTAGGATACAGAATTACTCTAGAAGACTGTACATCCTAGGAAAGTAGGAAACCCTGGGATGTAGCAGCATAGGTTGGGACCAAGAACTTGGAAAGTAGGATGTGCAAGAAGATAGAGGTGCTAATATTTTTGCAATGCTCGCAGGCTAGAAGATAACTAGGTAATAGGGGACTGAAACCCGGGGAACACTGAGGGGCAGAAAAGTATGAGCAGAATGGGTGGTATGGAAGGCCTGGGGATTCCTGGGATAGAGGAAGTGACTAGGAGGTGAAGGAGGGGCAGGACACTGGGAATCACTAGGAGACAGTCAATTACTGAAATGGGTAAAAGTTCTAGAAGACTAGGTCAGAGAGGGCCTACTTCCCAGGTGACAGGAGACACAAGAAGACAGGAAAGTGGTAAAGAAGCAGGGAGTGCCAGGGAAATGGAAAGACAGGAGTCATGGGAAGCTGTAGGAACTGACTGACTAAAGGGGATTGATCAGTAGGAGGCAGAGCAATGCTCTCAGGCAGGTGAGTCCAGAAGAGAGGCTTCCAGGCTCAGAGAAGCCCAGTGCTCCTTAGATAGTCACACAGGAACCTGTCCAGGAAAAGAATTCCACAACAATGAGTAGAAGTGTGGGGCCCATGGCCTGCCCCTGAGTCTTCTCTCTTCTTGATGACAGCAGTAGAGTGAGAGTGTGAACACGTTTAACAGCGAAGGACACGTTTTGCAGATGGACCATTCCCTTGCATATTGTTGATTTTATAGACAGCCTTTATAGGTCACCCACAAGCCCTACGCTATTTAAAAAGGATTTGTACCATGTTGAGATTATAGTTCATTTCCGAACTATTACTTTGATTTGTTTTAGTTACATAACTGTGGTGACTTCTATTGTTTTTATTAAATTTTAATGTTTTTTAAAACAGTCTTTTTTTCATTTCACATGCCTATCCCAGTTCCCACACCCTCCCCTCCTTCCACCTTCCCCCATCTTTCCCCCACCCCAACCTATATCCACTCCTCAGAGAGAATAAGATTTCTCATGTGGAATCTAACTATCACTTTGTAAAAGCACAGTGGATGAGAGAAGCATTGAAACTAATCCTCTTCACTTTCATTAGAAGGTTCCTATGCTACGCAATCTTTAATTAGATATTTACATTGAAGTTTAACCCTCTCATGTGCCAACCTCTTGGTAGGACTAGACTAGGGAAAGTTGATTACATTTCTGTCTGATCACAAGTACTCATTTAACTCCCCAATCTAATCTAGAAGTTTAAATAGAAGTAAACTCTCTTGTTCATTTTTTCAAGTGTGTGAAACATGCTTGTCTGAATGTGTGGTATATCTCAAGCTCTGTATATTTTTCCCCTGTAAAAGCCAGCAGAAGCTGCAGAGAAAATCCCTGAGAAGAAGCAACGCCTGGAGGACAACACTACCTGCTTGCTTCCTCCTTGCATTTCACCAGCTCCACCCCATAAGCCTCCCAACACTAGAGAGTAAGTTTTCACTGTTTCAGTGTGATGGCCCTTGTATGAGTGTTTTGACTGTAAAAACAATCATATTTGAACATATTGGGATCTTCTTGTTCCATTATAATGTCTAACTAGAACCAAGACTGATTTTTACCAAACAAAAAAATAAAAATAAAAAAGTGAATTAAAAAGAAAAAATATCAGAAAAATGTATATCATCTTAACCAGGCCAATGTGCTTTTGGCCAGGATTTAGTTCTGATGGTGACTAGACAATTTCCCTTAATCTTGATATGATGCCAGTTGAATGCCATTTCCTGATGTTAATTCAAATCTGGAAGACCAGTACTTGCATCCTAACTCCACAGAGGCCAGGAGAATGACATGCTTGGGAAATTGTGCTCTACCCCATGGAGGGCAGTTCTGTGTTAAGAAAAGCCTGGTAGAGATAAGTATGCTGATTCTAACCAACTGGCCCCTCTTCTCCCTTCTTTCTCTTTGGCAAATTTCCAAAATCAAGCAGGAGGCCTCCTTGTCCTTTCCCGAGTCGAAGAACATCATCCTTCTCCAGAAAGGCTAACCCTCTGTGTCTAGCTAGCATTGGGAATGAGTTCTTTGTGGCTTTTAAATTTCACTTAACTAACAATCATGACAGCTACTCATAACATTCTGTCTGTGTAATTATTGCAATAAATTTATTCAACATTGGAGATTACTCCCTTCAAAGACCAGTTTTGGAGTCTAATAGCAGCCCAAAGCAGAGAAACAATCTGGACAACTGCTGCTAACAATTGATCTCCCAGATTACTGTTTAACATCAGTGCTACAGCATCAATCTACCACAGATAAAATGCTGGGAAGAAGTTATTAGCTTGCATGGGTCTGGCATCTTGTTTTGAAATGAAAGGCAGAAACAGAGTCCTTTTTGCTAAATCTGTTCTACATAATAACATTTGATCCCTAAGATGCCTGCCCCCACTCTGAAAACCAGTTACTGTTTGTGACATATATACGTACTCTTTGGTAGAGTCTGTCTCTACAATATTCATTAACATAGTTCTCAGAAAAGGAAACCCAGTGATGGCAACCTGAATTCATTTTGCTCAGAGCAACCAGGTGGATGAGGAAGCAGGGATCTTGATGGTCAAAAATAATCATTCCTAGTCTTTCTTCCAGAAGGAAACAGCATGGGGTGGTGCAACACTTCCTCAGTTCCCAAGCTGGGCCCAGTTCAGACTACTTACAGATAAAACATAGAGACCAAGGCAGTGGGATATTGCCAAATCTTCAATGCCTTACTAAGCAACATGACTAAGCAACCTAGTGAATTGTTGCTCTATTTTATGGAAAAGTCAATATCAAGAGTAAAGTAATTCTCAATTAAGAAATGGTATTTTTATAGCACAGGCTTTGTATGCACTCTGCTCTTACAGTAAATGAAAAATTACTATTTGTCCGGGAGCAGTATTTATCACTCAAATAGGACTTTCCACAGTGTCTTATGTTTGTTGACAGCATCAAATTCTTGGAATTGAAGAAGGATGAGGTAGATTGGAGTCTGAAGGGTCTTATTTTGGGAACCCTCTAGCAAGCTTTATTTGTTCCCTTGTTCTTTGACCCTTCACTTGAGATCCTTAGAAACTCCTAAGAGAAAAGCGCTCACTTCTCTAAATCAACATATTAAACCCAGAAAAGATGTTATGTCTGATTGTAACAACTCAAGTTACCCCATCAATCTAAAGAACATTCTTTTGAATACTTCATCACATTTAGAACTTGACAAAGCCATGGTTATATTCTTTATTCCTGATCTACTGTCCTCTTCTATCCTATTTAAATAAGGAGAGAAATATGAAAAAAAAATCCTTTTGTGGTTGAAAACCATCACATTGAGAGTTTTCTTAGAAAAGGTCCCCTGGATGTTTTTTGTCAATGAGATTATTAAATATTCAACAGTTACAGTTTGCTACTGGGTAGATGAAAAGGAGTCTAGGACACTGGTATCTACTGCACAAAATGGACTGTTTCTCCATTTGTCAGGTCAGTAACAGATGGGAAAGTGCTGACATCCAATATAAGACCAATTACCTCTCATAAACAGCTCTTCATCTTGAAACCTCACTACGTTCTCAGCCAGCTCAAGTGGAGGCGGCTGATTACAAATAATGAATCACTTCCTATAGAGATCATAGCAATAGTTTACTTATGTGTGTATGTACACACATATCTCCAAAGCTCATGTACTACCATATTTAGTTTAATTTATGTGCTCTATTGTTGGTGGAATTTCTTCATGGATAAGAATCTTGGTCCACACATAGAGAAGTTACTAAGTGGTCCAGAGTGCTTGTTGCTATTGGAGAGGATCTGGGTGTGGTTCCCAGTACCTACATGATAACTCACAAACTCCTGTAACTCTAGTTCCAGGTAATCCAAAACCTTCTTTGGACCTCCACAGGCACTATTACACACATATATAAATGGAAAAACACTGATACACATAAAAGAAATCTAAAACAAAAAATCCTGATCCATTTGTTTACTATCATTTTATCTGACATCACAGCTGTGTTAAAATGGCTAACATTTCAAAGAAATCATAAAAATACTTAGGAAGTATTTTATATTAATTTTAGTCATTTAAGATAATGGCAGAAACATTTTCACTGTTTAAAAGGTTCACTACATAGCAATAAAATAGGATTGCATTTATGAGAGAAAAGATGAGTAAGAGGGCATGTATTATTATAATTGCCAAACCTGTATGACACAGTAAAAGGGAACATGGAACGTGTGCTTATTTTTCTTTCAGGAAATAAGACTACCTGAATGCTTGTTCATCCTTGATTTGTTGCTCTGAGATATAGCAAATCTGTATATCTAGACACTGGCTGAAATTGACCAAGAGGAAAACATAAATTCTTGTTGACTTAATTTGCCATTGAAAATTGCAGTCAATAATCATGAAAAGTAAATGACTGCACAGTGCAATATTAGTTGTCTAAGAAAAGATTAAAACTCAAGTCATCTTCAATGATTAGTCCAAGTCAGTAACTAAAATGAAAATCCATGACCCAATTACCATGTAAGGCAGTTAGCATAAGATTTTAGTTGTTCTGTTTTATTTGAAGTCTCAGTCTGTTTAATGATGCCCATTTAATGGGCAGATAAATCACTTTAAAAGCACAGGGGTACTTTTAGTATTACAGATGTCTCTTGTCGATATCATCAAAGAATATTTTAAGTGGACTTTTTTGAAGCGTATTACATCTGTACTTCAATTTAACAATTTGAGGTGAGTGAATGTTTATTCCTTAGCATAGACATACAGCATTTTACAATCAATTTACAATGTTTTACATTAGTCTTTAGTATGTAATTTATTTCTTAATGTATAAACACAGTATATCTTTTCAAATATGAAATGTATTGTTTATTGTGCCATTCATTGCTAGATTGTTTGGTTAAGTCTTAGTAGGAAGTATCCTGAAAAATGAAAGGATTGACATCTACATGGCGTTTTCTATAGAAAAAAATCTAACTGACACCAATCTTGATAAGTTTCAGATATAATATCATATAAGATAGCATTCATTAAATAACTACATTGGTCATGGGGTTTTGCATCTAAGACATGAGTCTTGTATATGTATGTATGCATGTGTCTTCATATGTATGTAATGAAATTCTTTATAACTATGCATTTTCTGTGTTTATAGACATATGTTTATATAAGATAAAGAATCATTAAGTTACATCAGCTGAAAAGAGCAGCAAAGTGGCAAAATTTTCAAATGAAGCAATGTGAGACTTTATGACACCCTACACTTTTTCTTTCCACAGAAATTCCTCCAGGAGAACAAACAGGAAAAAAGAAGAAAAGCTGTTCCCTCCTGCACTTTCCCCATTGCCAGAGGACCCTCCACGTCGCAGAAATGTCAGTGGCAACAATGGGATCTTCAGTCAAGACAAAAACACCTCAGTGGCTGGACAATTCACCTCTACCAAGCCTAAGAGAAGTGAAGGCAAATTCTGTGCTACTTTCAAAGGGATAACTATAAATGTAAGTATCTTAAAGGAAATACTATGTCAAATAAAACGATGTTAACGCAGCTTAGCCAGTGTGACTTTACCTCAGGAATGTCACAAGGGTGTAATAGGCACATAAAGCCAAGTTTGTCATTGTATACAAATGTAGCGGGAGGCTGCTTGTTGGTTCCCGGCCATACTCAAACTCTATTATTTTAATATTATTCCTTAATATTATTATTTTTACTATAATAATAGAGTGTCCTTTGATTCAATCTGTGTATCTTGAGGGTGAGAAGGGCACTGCCTTAGTGTTGAACGCAGAAAATGCCATGTAGACAGCACTGATATTCTAGTGGATGAAAAAAACAGATGGAATCAAGGTCACCCAAGGTCACGAAACAGAAATGGGAATCCCAAATTGCTTCTTTCTACCACTCCAATTTGCAAATGTGAATTGTTGGAAAACAATGGTTAAACTGGATTGATCTTCAATCGTGAATCTATTTCTAAAAGGCACACTAATGTTTCTACACTAAATGACTCTGTACTCCTTTGGATTTTCTGCAATGCAGCTTAATTAGCATAAATTCTAGAATGGTATCATTTCAATACCCATACACAATGCCACTTTATTTTTCAGATACAGAAATATGAACTATTGAAACCATGAGAGAATTAAAGAATGTTAATTTTAAAGAATGTACAGTGTTTTAAAGAATAAAATATGTTAATGACAAATATATATCTCCCCTTGAATGTAGACCTATGCATACATCCACACATATATCAATAAATGAAGATATACATCTCCCACATATGCCCACCTTTCTTTCAATATGAAAAAATGAATAACTTCTTAGATTTCTGATATAACTTTTTCAGACCTGAACTCTGTAGTTCATTTAAAAACTCTTAAAAGGCAACAAGGCTTCTTAGCTTTGAAGACCCTGATACACAAGCCTTCCTTATCTAAAATATCTAAGATGACTAGGACGACATGCTTATTTAGGTAAATGCAATTACAAATATAAATATTTGTACTAGTGTGAAGTTGACATTTTCCATATTTGTTAACATGTGTGTGTGTGTATTTTTTCACATAAAGTAAATAATCATCAAATTACACATCACATCAGCTGAAAATAATCTATAATGTTGATAATTAAACAATTTATTCTAAATATTTTAAATTTTATTATGTATCATGAAGATATAGTCAGATACCTAAGAGACAGAAATTACTGGGGAAATGTTATAAATATCAGTATATTTTCTCCTGGAAATGCATCATTCTTTCATGTTTTATGACAAATTTCTGATTTCTTAAAATGTATGGACTTGTAGACAGATTTCATGTTTATGTTCTTTTCAGGATCATGACTGTATCTAATCTTTTCCAGATAGATGTTTCAGTACTATCATCAATGCTGTATGTGTGGTACATATGGTGTTTCAAGGTTCATGTCAGGTATCTTGGTCATAGAAACAGTTGAGACTGTCAGTCTGACTCTAACAATGCAGATATGGAGCTGGTATAGGAGTCTCTTATAGCTGCACATGTCTGGTCTACATACAATCTATTATTATCTTTAAAATAATTTGCTATATACATCATAAGAATATATATAATTTCTGTACATTTATATCAATGTGGCCTAGGTAGTAAGAATTATCTGATAACCGTGAAGCTCAAGGATCAAGTGGAAAAGATCGATTTTCATGGATTTAAGGACTACCATACTTAGCTTTTATCTTTAAAGTGAATTCTTTCACCATGGCAAGCATGCATTCCTATGTGCCTGGATACACTCAGCAAATTCTAAGAGCACTGGGTGAAGGGGCAGAGCCATAAACCAGAAATGGCTTTCAATCTGAGGAGACCAATGAGACATACTTGTGCTCAAAAGAGAATATAAAATGGCTGGTGATTTCTATCTTAAAAGGAAGAGAGACAGGCCTGTGAATGGTGCAAGGGACATGAAAGTACATTTGGCTACAGAAACAAGGTCATTTTGCTAGTGGAAGAGGCACTTATCCCTACCTGACTGTTGCAATACTCCTAGGATAGAGACAACCACAAGAACTGGCAAACTGAATTGCAAGCTCCTAAGTGATGAGATGGAATATGAGAAGGATGATATTCCATCTCATCACTTAGGAGACACAAACTAGTAAGGATATAAGGGATGAGCGGCACCAGGGAAAGTATTAGCAGAGATAGGAAAGTCAGGATAGTCCATAATTACCAGGTGAGGAAAAGCAATCTGTCACACGAACATGGCAGGCAGTCTCATGACACAGTGCAAGCACATAGTTCCTATTCTCAACACATACTGTCTTGTGGATTCCAGATTTTCTTAAGGCATGCCAGTTCAAAGCAAAGCTCTCAAAAGTCTCTTATTCACTTGGTGTTTGGCCTAATGCAAACGAGGCTTTACTCTCTCAAGGCTTCAAAATACCATGGCATTCACTTGTCAGATAGCAGTTAAATGCTTCATAAGTCGAAACAATGTGTCAGCTTCCAGCCAGCCAGGACACTGACTGCTGTAGAACCGAGCCAGATCTCCTGATACTTTTCTCTCCCTTCCTCCCTTCACTTTTCAGTCTTTCTTCAACTTCTTCTTTCTCTGCCTTTATATTATTCCTTCCCCTCCCCTTTCAGATTTTCTTCTAGATTTAAACCCTTGCCATGCCAGTTTTAATAGATGTTGAGACTATGTAATTACATCATCTAGCTAGTTTATTGTTTAGTGTAGTCAGAGACCAAAATCTGGTTATCCACAAAATTCATAAAATATACAGGATCACCTCTTCATCCCCATACTGTGTATATTGTTTCTTTTTTCTCATTGTGATATGTGATTCCCCTCTGTATGCTATGAATATGTTTTATTACCAGAGGTTAATAAAGAAGCTGCTTTGGCCTATGGCAGGGCAGAATATAGTTATGTGGGAAAACTAAACTGAATGCAGGGGAAAAGAAAGTGGAGTCAGGCAGATGCCATGTAGCCACCAAAGGAGAAAAATACCAGAACCTTACCAGTAAGTCGCAGCCGCATGGCAATGCACAGATTAATAGAAGTGGGTTACTTTAACATGTAAAAGGTAGCTAGGAACATGCCTAAGACATTAACCAAACAATGTTGCAATGAACATAGTTTCTGTGTGATTATTCTGGCCTGGGCAGCCGGGAAACAAAATCGCAGTCTCCCTTGCATTGCTGTTTCCTACTGTGCTTGACATCGGTGAAGAAGTGTTTTAAGAAAGCCAGATCTAATGGAAGCTGTTTGTCCTTTTTTTTTTCCAGGAGGGAGATGCTCCAAAAAAGCCTGCTTGTGCCACCATTACTGTCACCAATACAGCTATTGCCACTGCCACTGTCACTGCTACTGCCGTTGTCACTGCCACTGTCACAGCTACTGCCACCACCACTGCCACGGCCACCACCACAACCACCACCACTACTATTTCTACCATCACCTCTACAATCACTACTGGCCTTATGGACAGCAGTCACCTGGAGATGACCTCCTGGGCAGCCCTGCCCCTCCTGTCCAGCAGCAGCACCAATGTTCGAAGACCCAAGCTCACTTTTGATGACTCGTATGTTCTTCCCAGATTATTGCAAACCCAGTTTGGAAGTGGTGATTGGGGATAAGGGTAGTATGCACTTTCTAGCACCATGCATGTGTTTCTCCATATAAAAGTTCATATCTGCTCCTATAATGTTAAATGAAAACCCCTTCCACATACACACCTCCATCTCTAGTAGGAAATGTCTTTAGTCCACTTTAATCCTAGATCGTTGCTACTGTTTCCCAAGGTGGAATCCTCCTTCTAGACCATTTTTGTTCATTCTTATTCATGACTTCAACTATATAGCGAGATTTATCTATGTTTTATATGACCTGTTTGGGCAACTGTAACAACTAGGCTTAGAGAATAAAGGTTTCTGTCCTAATTGGTCATCCTGCACTTCAAAGTACAGTTATAGTGTCATTTCAAGGTTGCTATCAGTATTATATATGAGTGAGTGACAATATTAGTATGCTTTTAACAAGAACCATGTAGGAATGATTTAATAGCCAAAAATATTTGTACTACTCTGCTTCTCAATGAAAAGATGAACCACTGGTTTGTAAAAGAGCTTATTTTGTTTGTTTAGTGTTCACAATGCTGATTTTTACATGCAAGAGGCTAAGAAGCTGAAACACAAAGCTGATGCACTGGTAGGTTTCCTTCTTCTCATTGCTTCACCCTACTAAATTATGATGTTCTGAATGAATTTTGTTCTGAATGAATGTTCTGAATGCATTTTGCAAATGGGGCAAACTTGAAGTAGCACCACCTAGACCTTTTTAAAGCATGAAGTACCATGGTTCCCAAACTCTTTTGGCCTGGATTCTCATGTTATTATATTTTATCACTTTTTCTTCCTTTCGACCAAGTTTAGAAAATCATTCATATGTACCATTGTCATGGTATTTTATATGAATTGAAATTACTTTTCAGCCTGCTCTGGGTATGATGGGAGCTTCTGTTGGGTCCAGTAAACCAAATCTGGGGTAGAAAGATGGAAGGTGTTGAGTCACATTTAATAGGTATTAAACTTTGATTTGGAGAAATGTAAGCTACATAGTAAGTTCAGATTCTTCTTGCATTTGCTTCCATGTACTGAGAGCAAAGTTCATAGTCAGGCTTTTCTCTTCTGATCACAGGATGAAAATGCTATCACCTTGATTTCTCATAAGTTCTAGCTATCTCTCAGGATCTAGTTGAGCTATACTATTGATAAGCTTACTATGTTCAATCATTTATCCTAATTGATCCTCATAACAAGGGATCTCAACCACATGTTACAGCCATTTGAGTTGCTCAAGCTACATCCAAAAAACAATGAAATAGGAATTTACCGGGTTGAGACCCTGCCATAATAACCAACTGACTTCCAAATGCAACCATTTAAGAACCATGGGCCTAAAGACAGTCGCAGGGTTAGATACCTCATTGCTTACTATATCTCAGAACAATTGCAAATATCAGTTCAATGGCATTATGAGGAAAAATGAGGGAAAAAACTATCCTCAAGCACTGCCTTATGTCATTTCAGCCCTTAGCAATTTAAACAGCAGTGAGAAATAAAAAAAAAATAGGGAGGTAGCAGATGCAATAAGCAAAGGCAGTTGATACTGACCACACATTGGTTACGGTGAGCCTGATATGATATTGCATCACAGTTTTTGCAGTGCCAACTAGAGCTAAAGGCTGAATTTTCTCCTGAAAACTATTTTTTCCACACCACTGCAGACAAAAACAACAAGGTAGGCTTGAGGATGCCATTGAAGAGACCTGGGTAGATTTTTGCATATAATCCCTGGATGATGACCAACAATTTAAAAGCTACCAGGTGACAGTAGTGCTGTCTGGAAGACTAAGGGTTTTCTGCAAATGTTGTCAATTCTGGAATGAGAAAGCATATGAATGTCCCTTTGACAAGGTGGCACATGGAATGATCAAGAGACCTTGATGCACATGTGAGGCCATTTGAAGAACTAAGAAATATTATCAAGGCTAAAACATTTTGCAATAAAATTTTACTAAGGTAAAATATTTACCAGTGCTATATTTTTGGACTTTTCAACACCATTTCAACCCATCATTTCCAGTAAAAATGATATGATTATTGTCGACTATCATACTGGAGCTTCTCATTTTTCAATCTGTTGCTCTGCACCTTGAGATTGGACTGATGACATTCTAAAGCAAGAAGCAGACTATGAAGATAACAAAAGCAAGGCTTAATTGCAAGATCTGACTAAATGATACTTCAGTCTCTGGTCAGTTCAGTACATTTGGTGATTAGAAACTAGACAAGCAATTTGTTTAGATTCTGGTTGGCCCAAATGTAACAGAAACACCAACAGTGATGCCATAATACATTTTGATACCTCGGCAGTCAGTCACAGGGTCAGGGCAATAGAGCATTAAATTCCTTCATCATTAATAACAATGTGCACACTGTCCTCTCCATTTCAGGGTTTCTCAGCTGAACATCTGGAACATCTAGTTCTCCATTGCAGAGGTTGTCCTTTGCATTTCAGAAGGCTTAGAAGCCTCTCTAGTCTCTGCCTACAAGGTGACTCCTATCCCCAGTGCTAACTACCCAAAGTACCTCTGTCTAATGATAAGTGCTCCCTGGAAAGTGGGGACAAAACTACTCACAGCTGTGAATGGTTCTTTTATATGAAGGTGAAAAAGACTATCACATTGACAGCCATTTTTCTGTTTCAGTTTGAGAAATTTGGCAAAGCTGTGAATTACGCTGATGCAGCGCTCTCCTTCACTGAATGTGGCAATGCCATGGAACGTGATCCTCTGGAAGCAAAGTCACCATATACCATGTATTCTGAGACTGTGGAGCTCCTCAGGTAAATGGCTTTCCTAGACTCATATTCCCAAAGTAATTTTATACAGAGTTAGAAGCTGTTAATGCTTTTTGCTTAAATATCATTTCCACAGTTAGTGTGTCCAAAAGTCACTGTAATTAGTTCCTGCCATTTTATTAATGCCATAGAATATTTATAATTGATGGACACTGTTTTATAAATTATCCCCTGTAGAGGTTATAATGTGAGTCTGATAATTTGTAATATTCATTAATTTAAAATTAAGATGTCACAGGTGAAAGTAAAGTATAATCATTTTATCATGTGGCATTGGCTTGCCTTTTCAAAACAAACTAGTGATCTCCAGATTCATATTAAGAGCCGTGTTCTCTAAGGCCTTCTGCTTGGGTTATTATAAAAGGAAGGAGGGACTGGCAAGATATCTCTTTGGGTAAAGGTGACTGCCACTAAGACTGACAACTTGAGTTTGATCTCAAAGGCCCACATGCAGAAAGGAAAAAATTGACTTGTGTAAGTTGTTTTTTATCTACAAACATGGACTATTGCATATATACAATAATAAGTAAATAAATAAGGGATCTTTTTAATAGGAAGGAGACAACACTCTCCTTTGGGATATCCCAAAGTCAATATTGAAGGTCTTAAGTATATAGCAGAATTTTCTTGCATCTGGAATAAGAAATTCAGATAGAGTATTGGCAGGGCTGAAGGTCAAGAAGAAAGGAAAATAGTAGAGGAAGAGGAAAACATATTAACTGCATGTATTATTGTATTTATATTTTAATGAAAATTTATGATGTCTTGGTAAAGTAAAAATTTTTCATTTTAATTATTTTTAAAACAATCTTTTTCTCATTTTATATACCAATCCCAGTTTCCATTCCTTCCTCTCCTCCAACTCCCCCCACTTACCCCTCACCCCTATCTACTCCTCAGAGAGGGTTAGGCTTCCCATGGGGAGTCAACAAAATATGACACATCACTTTGAGGCAGAAACAAGGCCCTCCCTGCTATACATATGCTGATCAAGGTATAACTCCGAAGAAAATGGGCATTAGGAATTAATCCTGGTTTCACTGCCAGTGGCCCTACAGACTACCTAAGCCACACAACTATCATCCACATTCAGAGGGCATAGTTTGGTCCTATGCAGGCTCCCTCACTGTCAGTCTGAAGTCCGTGAGCTCCCACTAGCTCAGGTCAACTGTTTCTGTAGGTATCCCCATCATGGTCTTGACCCCTTTGCTCACATTATCACTTCCCCCTCTCTTCAACTAGACTCTGGGAGCTCTGTCCAGTGCTTAGCTGTGGACCTTTGCATCTACTTCCATCAGTTGCTGGATGAAGGTTCTATGATGACAATTAAGGTAGTCATCAATCTGATTACAAGGGAAGGCCAATTCAGGCACCCTCTCTATTATTACTTAGGGTCTCAGCTGGGGTCATCCTTGTGGATTCCTGAGAATATATTAGACATAAAGCAAAGGATAACCAACCTATAGTCCATGACCCTAGAAAACTAGGTAACAAGTAGAACCCTAAGAGAGGCATATATGGATCCTCCTGGGAAGGGGAAGTAGACAAGATCTCCTGAGAAAATTAGGACCATGGAGGGTGCAGAGAAGGGAGGGTGGAAGGGGAGGGGAGAAGGGGATGGGTGAGGAGAACATGAAGGTATGGGATGGTTGAGAAGGGGAAAGAATAGAGAAAGAGGGCAAGGAAAGAGATATCTTGATTGAGGGAGCCATTATGGGACTAGTGAGAAACCTGGTAGAGTGAAATTTATAGCAAATCAAAAAGAAAAGAAAAAGGAGGTAGAAGAAGAAGTACTCACTCTAGTATTTTTCAGTCATTTGAAAATCTTAGAACAGGAATTTAACCTTTCCCTAAATAGTAGACATGTACCACAGTTTACTGTATGGACAAAATTATCATTTCTTATACTAAGGATGATACCTAGACCTTTGTTCTTGCTGTATAAGTACTATATCACTGATCAATATCCATCAACCACCAAATTACTTTCATCTGGTTGAGTAGTTTTATTTTTTTTTAATCTGAGAGGTTCTTCTATTCTATTCCTGCCAGCTCCATTGCTTAGCAATGCAAGGCTTGCCTTATACTATCAGGTTTTTTTTCTACATAAACTGTTAAATAACTTCAGATCTTTGTACAGAAGCCTTCAAGCAAACACGGGACAGATTTACCTTGAGAATTTCCCAAAGAAAATATTCCAAAGAGCAAATATAGAGACTACTATAAACACCATAGAACTGAAAGTTTTTTAAATTAATTTTTGTAAGTGTACAAAATAAGACCTTCATTATATTTTTTATACAGATATCATGGTATTTTGCTCATATTGCCCCTACTTTCTTCCTCTTTCCCCTCCCCTTCTAGCTAGTTTCTTTCCTCTTCTCAAATAATGCTCCTTCATGTTATCAAACACAAAATATATAAACAAAACAAATATTTGTAATTAGTTTGTAATTAAATATGTACATGAAAGAGAATGTACATCATGACATTTTTCTTCTTACCTTCTCTTGTTCCCATTACTCTCTCTTTTTACAACTTTATATTCACATATTACTATCTAGTAATATTATTATCTAGTAATATATTACTATTACTATATTCATATATTACTATTACTACTACTTTTAGTTATAGTAATAAACAAAGGTTGATTCCATTCAGTCATTCAACCATGTTTGTCTTGGAGATATTGCTTAGTCAAAAATATAATTTTTGAAAAAGTATAATACAAAATTTATGGCGAAAGTGAATGAACAATGAACAAGCAATTTGTGTTCTTTGACTCACTCAAATATGCAAATTCAGACAAAGTATGCTATGTTAACAAGAAAATGTTAATACTTCTCATTTAAAACCAGATGAAAGAAAATTATATTGTAGGCCTCTTCTGTATTGCTGATGAGAATAGAAATTAATCATTGAAAATTGCAAACAATTTGGCAATATATTAAAAAGCCAAATGAGCAAACATTTATATCTCTGGATACAGGATTTCAACCTCTGAAAATATGAATTCCCTTAAAGACATTTTCACAATGCTGAATTATTATACTTTTTCTTTATTGAATAAAACAAACAACTTCTGCCCACCACAAAAAAGAAAATACTTCATTGTTTCAAAATGAGACAAGGCAGCAACTTCAAAAAAGTTAAAAGAACTATTAGGATTCTGTTTATTTAATGTTGATCTGAAAGTTACAGTTTACTAAGTAAAACAGTGGAATGGCAAAACAAAGGAAAAAATAGAAAAACATAACTCTATGTGTAGAACACATGTGTGTATAGATAGATAAACACATGTGTATGTATATGACAACAGTTGATAAGAAGCAACAAAAATCATAATAAAAGAGTAATTAATTATATCATAAAAATTCAAAACTACTTTGCAGTCATTGATACATAAGAGCGATGAAACCTCGACAGTAACATGCAAATGTGAAATCATATTAATGTATAATGAAGGCCTGAGCTGAGTGGTAAATGCTTGTCTATCATGTGGGATGCCCTGGATTTGATCTCCAGTACTTCAAAACACTTAAATCATGCTGCATAATTACATACAAATTACAATATAAAAAATATGCATGCATCTAAATCAAAGTAGAAGGAAATAAGATTGTAGCTGTAATTGTGAAAGGGTGAGATTATGGGTGTCTTCCTTCTCTACAATTTTTTTCTTTCTTACTACGTTTTAAAGAAACATATTCTCTTCTAAAAGTACATAAGCAGGGGTTGTAGAGATGGTTCAGCAATTAAGGATTCTTACTGCTCTAGCAAAGAACCCAGGTTCTGTTCCTAGCACATATACATGGAGGCTCACAGCTGCCTATAGATCCAACAACACCCTCTTCTGTCCTCTATGGGCTCCATGCATGTAGCACATGGTGCACATAAAATTGTGCAGACACACTCACACATAAGCATAACAACTCTTAAAATTCACAAGTTAGACACCAAATCACATTCTGTGATAAAAAATGAAGAGAATCATTAAATCATTTTTTCTTAAATTCTTTCAAAAATACATTTCCTTATTTATAAAATAATTGTAATGTTTCATTACATCATCTTATTAGTACTGATAGAAATATATTTTAATGAAATCTTGGTGAAAGTTAATGGATAATTTATTGACATTCTCTCTAAAGTCATTATTTTAGATTTGATTTTTGAGGTAATTAAAGATTCACGTGTAGTCATAGGAACGAATACAAAGAATTCTTGTGTACTCTTCATCAAATTTCCTCCAATGATAATAACCTCTGTAGCTGAAGTTCAAGATCATAATCAAGGTACTGGCATTGACATAAAAAATGGACTTCATCAGATTTCACCAAGGAAGTTTTTTATTTCAGATTTTCCCCAGTTTTGCATTTATTATATTTTCTGTGATTTGCATATTTTTAATGAGAGAAATTTCTATTGGGAATAAAATGAGTTGAAATGAACTAGGTCTTCAGGCCCATTTCACCAATTGAAAATCCACTATTGAGTCACTTTTGAATGTGGTTGTAATATGAATACAGTGTTTAGTAGTACAATATTATCTGGAAGAGATTTTTATTGCTCTCTTCCCAACAATATGCTGGTTATAGAGGAAGAATCCTGTTTTTTATTTCAAATAATTAGAATTGTTCTGAGTCCTGGAAATATACAATAGAAATGTATTTGTTAAAACAAGAATGCACCACAATGACTTGACATTTCAGTAATACAGCTGTCAAAGAAAGTTAGATATTTTACATTATAAAAATACCACGTCTTGCCATGTAACAATAGAAAGCAGCCACATCAAGTATATAAGTCCCGTTGCAGAAAACGTTCACTCAACAGATTTTGAGAAGTTACCATGAAAGCAGGGCAGATAGCATGCTGAGAAAATTCAAAGTCTTGAGTGGGGATGAGCCAGGGCCCCTGGTGCTCTGAAGAGGCTGTTATAAGTAGCAAATAAGAGGATACGATAGGCTCTCTATCTCCTTCCATAAATGAGGGCTAACCCACACAGCCTGCACATGGACCTCAATTTTTTTCTGCTACAGTGAATTCAATTACTTATTCTACTATAAGTGCCTATGAAATTGCATTAAAGCTTAGACAATGATTTTATGCAATGAATTAATTTCTCGGGACTGAATGCTCAGAATGAGTTGTGCTCAACTAGAAGGGAAAAAAAGCAAAGAGAACTTTTTGATCTTTTATCACAGCATCATGGAACAGTGATAATTAAAGAAAATGGAAAGGCAAAATATACAAGCGACATAAAGTAGGGTTGTTTGGACTTAAAAATGCTATCAAATCAGTCCTTTTAAACACACACACACACACACACACACACACACACACACACCAAACCATGCATGCATGCATGCATGCATGCACACTTTTTATAAAAGAACCTATACAAAGTTTGAGCCATTAGAATAGAATTTTTGCCCGATTGAGATCTCCCTAGCCAATGTCAGACATGGTTCTTTTCTATTTCCTCATCTGTCATAAAGTGAACTGAGACTGACATATTTGCCCACCTTGCATATAAAACAAATAATATTGTTTACCTAGCAAGCTCATAGAGACAATATTTTGCCAGCCAGCATTCATACATAGCCAGAAACTCGAGGATATTCTACAGCATTATTCTAGAACATGAACCTATGATTAAACTGTCTTTTGTAGAGTTCAGTTCTTGATGTCACATCAGGTTCCATTATGCTGTGTGGATCATCCTTTTGTATATGGTTTTAAGAAAGGACCAGTCTGGGTTCTGCCTTAAAGAAAAAAGCAGAGAGTCTAAGTCATTTATGCAATCAGAATTTTGAAAGGTCAAGATACCACTTGAGTATGTCTTTTTTTCTTCAAAGGTATGCAATGAGGCTGAAGAACTTTGCTAGCCCCTTGGCTTCTGATGGGGACAAAAAGCTAGCAGTATTATGGTGAGTTTCATGAGGCCACAGGAAAACTGCTGAAACTGCAGTGGGATGCGAACACGCCGCATCAACTTAAGCAGCTTACTCCAGATGATTATTCTGGCTTTCCAGTGAACTGTTAAAGGATAACTAATGGATTTCTTCAGTCACTGATTAAACATCTACTCGCCCCTCAATTTATACCCTTATCAAAATGGGATTGAAATAATTCCACTTCATTTACTAAGTGTCTTTATTTACACATGTTGTGCAAACTGAGATTAGACAAATGACTGCAAAATATGAATGTTTATTTAGCAGTGCAGTCTTCATGAGGCACTGTTGCTAACTTAATCCTTTTCTCCTCACCCAGCTACCGATGCTTGTCACTTCTCTATTTGAGAATGTTTAAACTGAAAAAGGATCATGCTATGAAGTACTCAAGATCACTGATGGAATATTTTAAGGTAATTCTTATTTTGTATGATTTGTGGGTAAAGGGTAATCAAAACCTGAATGAAACATGTTAGGCATGTTAGCAGATGTCAGATGACTAAGAGAAGACAGATACTGCCTGCCACAGGCCTGCCCTCTTTAACTCCAGCTGGCCACAGTCTTCTGATTCCCAAAGGAGAAGGTGCAGTAATGCCGAAGGCCTATGACAGCCTCTTGACTGCAATTAGAGATGTATTCTGCTTGCTATCAAGCTGCTCATAACTTGTGTCTGTGGGTGTAACTAGTCTCTCTTTTTAAAAAGACCAGTGCTGGATGGTGGTGACACATGCCTTTAATCCCAGCACTCAGGAGGCAGAGGCAAGCAGATCTCTTTGTGTCTGAGCCCAGCCTGGTCTACAAGAGCTAGCTCCAAAGCTACAGAGAAACCCTTTCTCAAAAACAAACAAACAAAATGAATAAACAAAAAAACCAAAAAAGACCATCTAAAAAATCCTTCAGCAGGGCCAAAAGTCATCATAGCTACACTAGCACTGTGTGGACATCTGTTTATGCCCCTCTAAGTGGTTTATTCACGGGAAACCTCGGAGTGCTGCAATTTCCATCTAAGGCATTTGATTCTGTTGGTTACCAAAGGAAGCAAATGGGCAAAATCATCCTCTAGTGAACTGAGGTTGTTTGTTTTTGTTTTAATTTACAAACAAGCAAGAGAGGTAACCAAAAAAACACAATGCCAACATTTGGGAATGAACCCACATCAAAATCCAAGCAGGAGTGTGGTACTAAGCATGGCTGCTCCACGCTTCAATATGGCATTTGTCTACTACTGCTGGCCATAACTGAAAATTGAGGTGGTTTACTGCTTCTTTGTTTTGGCCGGTACTCAGAGGAAAATTACTTTTTGTCAAGTACATGAGACCTCTTGGTCACATTTCACCTAGTGGTTATCTGAATTGAACCATGTCATGACCTTGCAGCAAATATCCTGTAAGTACTAGTGTCTGAATGAATCATCTGGGACCCGTCTGAAAACAATGAGCAAGATCCCTAGTGACTATGTGGTATGGATAGAATGCCATAAAGCTAGGGTTTATGTGGGCAAAAGTGATCGCATACAATAGTTCTCCGGTCCTTTCTTAAGTCTACCTTCTCACAGTGTACAACAGAAAAATGAGTCTTGAATTTCATTCAACATCTAACATCCCCAGAGGGCCAGGTCCCATGCCCCAAACATGTGTCCTGGGATAGGGCCTGAGAATGTGCATTTCTGGCCAGTTTCCAAGTCATTCTCACGCTGCTGGTTTTGTCATCTCCCTGAAAGCCATTGTTCTAATATCTGCCCTATGTGCCCTGTCAGGGAATTAGAAAATAGTTCATTTAGTCAAGTTTTCAGACTGCACACTATGTCTAGCTTTCTGTGATACCAAGGCCACACTGAACACGTATTGGATTCTAGAAAGTGGTGATTCTCTCTCAAATACACCTTTTGCAAAGGAGGCTGGACTGGAGGCCAAAGGCAGTAGAACACCCACAGACTGGCTCCAGTGGCCAAGAGCAAACCTGGCTCAGATTCCTGTCACAAGGAGCTTTATCCCTGCCTTGTCATGGTGATGGTATGCTGAATATCAGGGTTTTCTCTGATCCACTAGGCTCTGACCAGATACAAACAAACAAAACAACAAAAACACCCCCCTAGAAAGCCAGTACTTTCAATCAGCCAGATTCTGTCTGAGAAACAAGAAAAGGTTTTGAGTTCTAACTACCTTTGCAATGCAGTCCTGGACCAGTTGCATTGCTAAACAGAGAAAACCGCCAGCCATAAACATTTGCATGTAAAGACCACAAATCATAATGAGTCCTAAAAACAAACAAGCAAACAAAAATGTATTGCTTGGCTCTGACATCTTCCTTACATATCAGACATGAAAGTCAAACCTGTATCCAAAGCTTGCAACTAAAGTTAAAGGTGAAAAGCTTACTTGTACTCTCTGAAGGGCTTGTTTTGCAGAATAAATTTCAGATGAGGATAATTAAGCCACTTCTTGGAAAACAGAGTCTGATTTCACTGGGCCTTTTAGTATATAAGATCTTTCATCAAGTGACTTTCATGGTCCTGATTGGAGCCCACTGATTATCCTAACCAGCTATTTTCATCGAGTGTGCGTCGTGGTGTGCTGATGTGCACATACATCCAAGTTCTGCATCCCAAAATGCTGCAATCAATATTAATGTACTCTAAATCACACTTACATCTGTTTCAGAATTAATAAACACAAAATAGATGTCCTTATTTTCCCCTCTCTCTCTCTCTCTCTCTCTCTTTCAGCAAAATGCTTCAAAAGTTGCTCAGATACCATCTCCTTGGGTAGGCAATGGAAAGTAAGTATACTACCAAAAAAATTGCTTTTTCATGAAAATGAATGATTGGATAGACCCCACATATTTTGCATTGATTGCTTAAGAGTTAAGGACAATTTCAAGACAGCAGTTTTTTTTTTAATGCACACATAATTCTAGACAACCTTCAGTTGTTGGAGAGACAAAAAAGTTTCAAATGATGTGGTTCCTTTAAGATCTATAAGCTAAATTATAACCATAAAATGTCTGCTAATGAAATAGCGAGCCACATGCCATTTCTGGGAGGTGGCAGAAAGTTAAATCCACTGCAATGATTTGTCAGTGATTCACTTGGTAATGAAAAGTGAATGAAATATTCATTGATATATGGCAAGTGATATTTACTAAAACCAAAGGAATAATAGAGTTGAAAATGTGAAGGTACATAGTCAATTATCTGGGTCTTCATGAAAATTTTTAGGTCAATACTAAAACACCTTGACCTAAATATAAAAGGATGTACTCTGATGCTGCTGTAAGTTTCCCAGACTTACATGTAGTCTTGTTTAGAACCCTATTTGCTTAGGGTCCTTCCCTAGACTTCACAACACTACAATGAGAGTTTGAAGGAGACTCTTGCTCTAGACCTAAGACTGCATACATCTCATTGATTAAACAAAATGGACCCATCTTCTTCTAATTTTGCCTTTCTCCCTCTGAATAAAAGGGGTGAGGTTTATGCCAACTGGGACCACAGAGGAGATGATCCTTATAGAGAGCTATTATGAATCCCACTTCATCTCCATCATGTGCCTTTGCAAACTTTTCTGACTACCCATGTCAATCCTGGTTTCAAAAAGTGTCCCATCCCTTCCAAGCCCATTTCCTACCAGTATAGGATGAAAAAGTATGTCAGCGGGCACATTCACAATAAGCCTGCTGTGACTGGTTTTACCATTTTTATCATATCAAAAATCTTGCATCTCTGATCAAAATGCCTTCCTCATAAGTAAAATGGCATTTACTGTCACTTTATAAGTATCTCCAAAGTATACTCCAAAAGCAATGGACCAGTGAACTCTACTTTGAGATCATAAAACCATTCAGAGTGAGGGAAGAGATCCATTGAAACCTACGCATCAGCACACTTACTGTGCTGAAAGGAAGTGCCGCTCCAATTGTTGAATTAGGTCTTACTCTTGGTGAACAAAAAGGAAAGATGTTTCTCTCTCTCTCTCTGAAAGTTCAGAAAATAGAAATAACCATTGAGAGGCCCAGAGAAAGCCATTTTCTTTGACTACCAAATAAAGCAAGGGTAAGGTCAGGTAAACAGCCTGTAAAGAATCGCTGGGATTTTTTTTCTGAAATGGAAGAATTTGAAATACATTCTAAGCCTGTGAGGTCATATTAAAAGACTCATGAAATGATTCTCAAGCAGCTTCAGTCTGTACTCCCTTTAGTTGATAGTCATGCTTTTAAATAATCACATAGGGAGGATGTCACACATATTCAGCAACTACTTCAGATCCATTGGTTCCACACAAGGTCCTGTGTGACAGATGGGATCACCAAGATGAAGTCCATATGATCTCTGTACCACAGAAGAATACAGTTCACTGAAGGGAAATTACAAGTATAAGCAAAAGTCTAATAGAAGACCTATAGGAAGAATTTGGGTGTTTGGACTTCTTATCTCAAGTCAAAAGATAGCCTGGCTTCCCAATTAATAAGAATGGTGTGCTCCTTCAACAAACTCTCATAGCACCTTCCAGGGGAAGCACCCTGACTTAAAAGCCTCCTCACCTGGCTACTGATTGGGGAAGGAACTGCCCAGAGGTGTTGCTCACCACTTTACTCTTGCATGAGGCTGTCACAGGAAAACACATGGAAAGAAGAGAGATGAATAGGCAATTGAGAGTAGGTTTGTCTCAATTGAGACTATGAAAAATGTCCAGAAAAGTAGTAGGGGAAAAGAGAATGGCTTGGTAATACCTATTTTGGAATTTGTAGACCCAGAGGAATAAACAAGTCAAATTATGGGGAAGAAAAGAGGAGAGGAAACAAACTTCCTGTTCAAATTCAAAATATAATAACAAAAATATTTGTATAAGTTTTGAAATACAACTCTGTCAGTGTGTGTGTGTGTGTGTGTGTGTGTGTGTGTGTGTGTGTGTGTGTGTAGTTTAATAGTATTTCAAACTTGGTCTTCCTTCTCATCAAATCAATCGAAACTGCTTGTCTTTTCCAACCACCACTAATTCACAGGCCACATAGAAACAGTTGGGCCAGATTTACAGATCCTTGACAGAGTTCTGGAAGTCATTATGTAGAGAGGTTAAAAGAACTAGACAACCATCTCAAATGTTACAGAGAGATAACAAAAAGAAAGAAGACAGGGATAACAATTGGAATTTGAAATTAGAAACTTGTTTGAAGACTCCCTAAATGCTTTTCAGTAGACATGTGAGTGGTGAGTACTATGTTGAAGAAATTAAAAAGAATTTTTTTTTTACTTGTTTGAGCAAGAACTCTGGTTGTCATGCAAAGACCATCCACATCAACTAAAGCTGCCTCAACACCACAAACAAACTTGAGAAAGGCAATAGTGGTATGAAGAAAAACTTATGAATCTGTGGAGAGCACTGAAAGTAAACTTAAATAGACACAAAGATGATAGAAGTGGGCATGTGTCAGACGGAATCTTTAGTCAAGCGCAGAGAAGACTGAGGCAGCATAGTTGCTCTGACATAGAAAGGGCTTTGGGCGAAATTAGGTCTGTCATCAATCTCTGATGCTCTGTGTAATTTGCAGCATGGCCCTCAGGAAGAAGCTGACTTCTTTGAAGTCTTTTCTCAAGTCTTTAAGACATTGGCAAGACAAACATCTAAGTTGACAGGAGGCTAGTGATAATAATAATTAATTTCTAAGATCTATGCTCAGTGCCCTGATTTTAAAAAACACAAAAAAACAGCAACAGTGACTATGGCTGCTGTCATAGTTATTGTTAGTCTCCATTACCTCTTAAAGCTAGGAGGCATAACCAATCTTGCTCTCAAAAATATTACAGCTCTTAGTCTGGACTTCCCTTTCCCACTTGTTCTAGATTGCCAACTAATGATGGATTTTTTTTCTCCTTCACTGAAACAGTATGTACATATGTGTAGCAAATGTGTATGTACATGTGTATAAGCATGTACACACAATTGTGGAGACCAGAAATCAGTATGAGTGATCTTCCTCTAATCTCTTGAAGCTTTATTTTTTTAAGAAAGAATCTTTCACTGAATCTGGAGTTCACTGACTGCCTATCTAATGAGTCCCTGAAATCTACAGATCACGACTTCCCAGCATTGAAATTATGGGTGCTAGCCATTATGCTTAGCTTTTAAGTGACTATTGGGATCTGAACTCAGTTCCTTATGCTCACAGAGTAAGCACATTTCCCACTGAATATCTCTCTAGCTTCCTTATGTTTCTTTAAATGAGGGGCCATTCATTGTTTCATTTGACAAGCACTTATAGTATAGCAAACACTCTGCAAGTGCATTTACAAATATCAATTACAGCAACGCAGATTGCTTTCTTTCTATGTTGCAGAGCATTTTATGATAGATACTGAATAAGGAAATTCAATTGGTATTCTTTGAACATGTTATATGCCAGACAATGATCTAGAATGCTGTGGTATAGCATAGGATTAAATTGATGAAAATCCTAGTCCCTGTTTGTGTTCTGTTCTGTTAGAAGAGAAAGATAATTAAAAACATATCTAACATTTCAGTTTCATTCTTCTTTCTACATAGAGCTATCAAGTCTGACAAACACAATTTGTTAAAGATGCTGCCTTTTCTCCTGTGTGTATTTCTGGCTTCCTTGTCAAAACTCAAAGGGCCCTAGGTGTGTAGACTGATATCTGGGTCCTCAATTCAAACATTGATCAATGTGTCTGTTTTATGCCAGTATCATGCTATTTTTATTGCTATATCTCTGTAGTATAATTTGAAATCAGGAATGGTGATACCTCCAGCAGTTCCTTTATTGCTTTGGTTATCTTGGTGTGTGTGTGTGTGTGTGTGTGTGTGTGTGTGTGTGTGTATAAATGAAATTTATGATTATTTTTCAATTTTTATAAAGAATTTATTAGAATTTCAGTGGAGATTACATTTTTCTGTAAGTTTCTTCTTGGAGAATGGACATTTTCACAACATTAATCTTACCAATCCATGAGCATAATAGGTCTTTCTGTCATCTTCAATTTATTAAAGTTTTATTATATAAGTATAGTTTATGGCATATGCCCCATGCGGTCAAGGGAGACCAAGGGAACAGACAATGTGTTGATCTGATGATATGTGTACATCATATATATAATGATCAAATCAGGATATGCAGAATTTCATGTTCTTAAATATGCTCTACTTCTGTTTGCTGGTAATCTTAGAATTCTTCTCCTTAAAAGAACATATTACAAGTTCTCATAAAATTATACTTGTCCTACTGTGTTTAGAACACTACAACTTATTTCTCATATGTAAATAACTGGATTCTGGACCAGTTTTCAAATTATTCTATCTTCTCCTCCTTAGCCTGTATTAACCATAATGAGTAGTCATTGCTTCTATGAGTGAGAATGTCTGTATTTCTAGCTATAAACTAACATTTAAGACTTAATGAAATCACTAAAGAAAAAGATTATAAAATAGCTTGTCTGACCTATGATGACAAAGAATTTTATTTTTATATCACTAAGTAGCCCTGCTTGCTAATGCTCCTTGACTTGGGACTCCCCATATCCTATCCCTGTTTTGAGAATAAATCATGCTATGGGGAAGCAGGAAACTATCTTAGAAAGCATAAACATGGTGGGAAAACCCTCACATGTTCTTAGACCACACAAATACATAGCAAATTTGAAGATCTACCTTCTTACCAAGACCAGAGCACACCATAGGTTAGACTCCATTGGCAAAAATACCTGAACTTTTTCTCTCATGACTATGGACACAATCTTTATGTATCTGAAGAAGAAGATTTAAGCTGCAGTTGTTCATGGGACTTGTCAATAGCACTACAGCATCTTGTTATATGTGACCTATTTCCCAATCGAGTGCATATGCCTCTATTCTGTGAGCATACATAGACTCTGAGAAACACAACTCCTGGGGAGATGCAAAGTTGTCAATAATAGAAGTTGGTAAGGGTTTGGAGCATGATATAGGGCTCTGTGATGATGGTCTGCAGTGGAGAAGAGGGTCCTTCAAACATGTAGACTCTTTTTGTCTTTTTAAAAATTGATTTGATTGAGCTATACATTTTTCTCTGCTTCCGTCTCTTCTTCTCCCCTCCTCTTCAACCCTCTTCCACGGTCCCCATGCTCCCAATTTACACAGGAGATTTTGTCTTTTTCTACTCCCCATGTAGATTAGATCCATGTATGTCTCTTTTAGGGTCCTCATTGCTGTCTAGGTTCTCTGGGGCTAAATGCCCCTTGATCAAAGAATGAATAAGGAAAATGTGGTACATTTAAACAGCAGAAAAAAAATAATGACATCTTGAAATTTGCAGGCAAATGAATGGATCTAGAAAACATCATATAGAGTGAGGTAACCCAGATCCAGAAAAATAAATAACATATGTACTCACTCATCAGTGGCTTTTATACATAAAGCAAAGAAAACTAGCCTACAATTCACGTGTAGACTCTTAAATATAGTTTTCCCTCCTTTCTCTTGTTTATATGTTTGCTTTTTTTCTAATAGCCTTGATCTGGCTTTGTTGCCTGGGCTAGTTAGTTTTAAATGCCTATCCTCAACAATGTTCACTTCTGAGCCTTTCAGGCATCTGCAACTACAGGAATGTGTCACCACATAGTGCTGCCGATTTCTTTTATTCCCTTAAAATGTCCTGCCCAAAGTGGATACATCTGTTCAGGAAGTTGCTCAAAGTGTGGCTGAAGAAAGGCTCCCTATGACTGGTGTGTAGATCTTGCTGTCCTGCCTAGGACACTGCTCATTCATTCAGGCTTGTCTTTAGGCAAGTCTACCTCAAGCTATCCTAAGCTCAGGTCCTGAAAACAAATTACCTCCATGCTGTGTGTAGCCAACAGGTAACTCATTACTGATGTTAAAGAACTCAACAAAAATGTGTCCAAACCCTGGAACTGTCAAAAGTAAGGACTTTGAAGACTCCTCTTTATAAACCAGCATGAAGGTAAACAATCACCAATAAATAGCCCATCTCCTTTGCACATCTTAGAAAATCCTAAATAGATAGATAGTCAAAGTCTTTTCTTTCTAGCTTCTCAGATACTGCACCTTGAGGGGCCTTTACAAAGTGCACTTGACTTATTGTGGCAACTGTATTTGTGACAAATGTTACTGTGGTTTCACAAAACACTTTGAAGATAGACCAATATTGCACATCATGTTCTCCAATTGTCAGTTGCCACTCTGAAGAGGTAGAATAAGAATCACAGCTCTGAGCTGTTTCTTTCTAAGAAACATTGTAGCATGTCATGTACATCCAAACTAAGAGATATATTTGTAAGCAGTATTAATACTAGAGAAGGATTCACTCAACTGACTCTCTCCCTCCCGCTCCCTATTCCTCTCCTGCTTCCTCTTTCTTGTTTAAAACAGCAATGTACACAGAGGGCTGTCCAGTTGTTAGAGACAGGAGATCTTCAGTGTTTCAAGTTAGAAAATGAACACAGGTGACTTATTCTAGGACCAGCCCTATAGCCCTGCGTGGGTTAGTTAGATGGTTTAGGTCTGCAGTGACAATATGCTCCCACTACACTAGAGCCTCTAAACAAAACTATGATGTTGATCAGGGTTTTAGGATCTTGTCTCAGAAGATTCACTGGGACATGGACAATCAACTGAAGCTTTGTGTATCTTTATCACACTAAACTTCACTCTGGCTAGTGGTATTCTTAAGAGATTTCACTGTGACAAGAGATGTTCCATGCACCCCAAACCCTGCTAACACTCTTGGTTACCAACTTAATCTGGCCTGTCTCTTTCCATTCTCCAGGAATATTCCATCCCCAGTGTCTCTAAACAATGTCTCTCCCATCAACACAATGGGGAATTGTAACAACGGTCCTGTCACCATCCCCCAACGTATTCACCACATGGCTGCTAGCCATGTCAATATCACCAGTAATGTGCTTCGGGGCTATGAACACTGGGATATGGCTGACAAACTGACAAGAGACAATAAAGGTATGATTATCTCTTCTATTCTTTGCTTAAGGATGAGGATGCAGTCACTTGTGCCGTGAAGGACTAGGTCCCTTGTACCTGATAGCCGTATATTATTCAATTCTTCTGATTTCTATGTCTTTGGTGAGAGAAAGTTAGCTTAGAGCTGACATAGTGACCTATTTTTACATTTAGAATGATTCAAGGCCAAAATATTTATGCTCCTTTAAGACTTGTAATGTATCAGCATATGATATTTCCAGAATTTTACTCTATAACAAGAATCAATATAGAGAAATAGTTACTAATGCAAAAGGAGTGATTCAAAAATTAATTAAGATCCTGTTGGCCTCTGTTTATTTTTTAAGAGGTGAGGTGGAATTAAGGTCATGTACCTTCATTACACTTATCAGCTCAAGATGAATATATAACAACACAGTTTGCATTTGCAAGTAAGGACTAAACATCAGCTAGTATTTCTTCACACCCTTACAGGAGGATCAAGGCCCTATTTATGGGAACACATGAGATTTGTTACAGAACAAATGCAAAGGAGACCCTGCTTCACAAAGGCCGATAATCATAGATGACTTGTGCTGCCATCTGTGACCACAGCTGTCATTTATACTCAAAATAAAGCCCCACCAATCTAATATCATTAGGAAGTAAAACTAAAACCACATTCTTACTCTGGCCACTCATTTGCTGTGGCGCTTTCTGGCCCATTAATTACAGAATGTCCAATTGCAAACAAAGTGGGAACTTGATGGAGGAGGGTTATCTGTCTATTGTGTTATTTTCATTGGTCAATAAAGAGACTGCCTTGGCCCTTTGATAGGACAGAAAATTAGGTAGGCGGAGTAAACAGAATAGAATGCTGGGAAGAAGGGAAATGAGGCAGAAGCCATGGAGCCAGCCACCAGGTCAGACATGCTGAATCTTTTCCGGTAAGCCACCACCTCGTGGTGCTACAGATTATTAGAAATGGGTTAATATCAAGATATGAGAGTTAGTCAGTACTAACTCTCTAGAGATAATGGGCCAGGCAGTGCTTAAATGAATACAATTTGTGTGTTGTTATTTCTGGGACTAAGCTAGCCGTGCGGGAGCTGGGTGAGGCGAAAAGCAGGCCTGCCCGCAGCTCCTTTCTACAGGAACTTAATGCAGATCCATGAGAATCAACCATGAAAGAGGTAACAAGCAGGCTAGAATAATAAAAATATGTCCAGCAACAGGGAGCAATTATCCTCCATCACAATCTCGGTTGCTTGGGGTGGACATGGGTTTTGCTAGCTCCTGAGCAAGTATATGAATTCCCAATGACCAGGAAGAGATATAGGACACATACATACATACATACATACATACATACATACATACATACACACACACACACACACACACACACACAGAGAGAGAGAGAGAGAGAGAGAGAGAGAGAGAGATGGGGGAGGGAGAGAGAGTGTGTGTGTGAGAGAGATAGAGGACAGAGACAGAGACAGCGACAGAGGGAGGAAGGGAGAGAGTGACAGAAAAAACTCTGGCTTCTACTAACACATGTGCATCCCTAATAACTGAGTAAACATAGAAATCCACATGTGTATATACAACACACACACACACATACACACACACACACTACTGTGGCTACCAAAGTTTATTTCATAATTTGAGACATTGACTCTGAACCCAGCTATCGATCTGCACTGACTACTGAGAATATACACATGTAGTTATATCTTTTTGTACATCGATTCCTATATCCTAGGCACTATGATATTTGCTGTTTGTTGTCTCACCATTTGCCCTTACTTTATATCTGAAGACACTAAAGATATTTAAGGCTAAAAATTTGTCCATTTTATCAAAGTACTCTCTCTCTCTCTCTCTCTCTCTCTCTCTCTCTCTCTCTCTCTCTTTCTGTTTCTCTCTTTCTCTCTGTTTTTGAGAGAGGGTATCTCTGTGTAGCCTTAGCTGTCCTGGAACTTGCTCTGTAGACCAGGCTGATCTCGAACTCTGCCTCCATAGTGCTGGGATTAAAAGCATGTGCCACCACTGTGATCAGAGTGCTTTAAGTTTGATAGAAACAGCAGATACTTTTTCAAATTTTATGATTCCAAAAGCAGAATTTAAACCAGTACCTAGAAAGCACATTTAGTAGCAGGTGTTTAGAGACCTTTGGTGAAAAGCTCGAATGTAGTTATCTGAACAAAGGCAATTTTTACATAGTCTTTTTTCCTAGACTTCTGGAAACCAATATACAACTCGCCTAGACAACTAGCCCCCCCCCAAAAGCTCTACAACTGTGAGCACAAGGCATAGGCATCTGGAGATATTTCTGGTTTATCTGGTTTTAATCTGTCTTATTTTGTATTGGTATTTGGAGGGAGGTTCAATATTTACAGATTTCCTTTTAAAATTGCATTCACTTTCACAATCTGTTGAAGCAATTTCTTCTAAATTAACTGAAGAACTTTCCAGGAACAGTGTGATGACTGTGCTGATGCCAGGCTGAAGTAGTGCTAATCTTGTCATTAGTGCAGCCTGCCAAGGAGTTGTTAAATTCTCTGCCTAATATTGAATCAAAACAACACTGTCACTGTACCAACAGAGAGAACACGTGCTGGTGATGCTGCCCCTGGGCTTCTCAGTGGACTAGGAAGAGACTCTAATTTGGAATTTTGTGCTCATAGTCTTTAGTTCTGCACACATGTCATTTATGACCTGCTTGGATTTGATGACTCTTCTAACACCTATCTTGTAGAGAGAGAAATGACATAACTCAGGAGCCTCTCCATAGATAGGAATTCGACATCCTGCTCAGACAACTGTACTTAGACTTTTTCACAGAGAGCTGTGTTATAGATATGGTCAGTGTTGGCTGTTTTGGTAGCCTCCATCCATGCCACTGCCTGCCCACTTTTTCAGCTGTATAGAACCTATTACAGAAGGTTTTGGTGCTGAAACAGGCCAAAAACTGATGATATCCTCTGCCCTTTGATCAAGAGGCCCTACTCCCTACCTGCCCCAGCCACATATATTACTCCATTGAAGTGTTCATTAAAATGGTGACCTGGCAGTCTAATTTAAAATGCCAAAGGCAGATTTTCACAGAATGGTCAGAGGATGTTTTATCTCACATAAGGTTCCCATTCATTCAACAATGACTAGTTCATTAATATTTTCATTAGTATTGCATTACCATAGAAAATATTTTAGATGCCACAAGTAATTTATCCCTTTGTTGGCAAAAATTTCTTTTATTATATTGCCCAGGTTAAAAAAATATCACATAATCAAATGAAGTTGATAGCTGGAGAAGGAGCCCACCTGTTACATATAACATAAATAAATGTTTTGTTCAGGGAATTATCACTTCTGAGCAATCAAGTACATGTAATCCATGCATGGAATTTTCAAGAAGGCAGAACAGCATCTCAGGCACTTTGGATAGTTTCCAGTCCCACCCCTATTCTGGACTTGGATTCCTCATCCTCATCTAGTACAGGCATGGTTTCTTATGGACCCCTGGGGCCTCCTTTCCTATGGGAAGCCAACAAGAAAAAAATGCCAGTGAACCCTCTTTGGGGCAAGGTGTCACACAAGTCAAGGGAAACAAAGGGATGCCTAGGGAATTTTCAGACATCATATAGTCTTTCCCTCCCCAAAGGCAGGCATTCTAACACTTTAGTCACACAGGTGAGTAGTTAGTAATGTATCCCATTTCCTAAATCAGACAGAAGTAACTATGCCCAAGAGCATGGTAGAAGTTGTCATGTGCTGGATACTTGCAGGTCATTTTCTAACCCAATGAAATCAGTAGCAAAACTTTCTACCTTAGTATTTAGCTCTGAATGACAATGATCATAATTTGGTGCTCAGGTTCGCTGGAGCTTTCTATACTATGCCAATAAAAGTAAAAAAGAGTGCACTTGAACCAAAAGAAAATATATTTTCAATCTAATAGCATCGGCATAAAAACATCATTACATTAGAGAAATAATGATGCTTATCAGGACCTGTTTAAAGCTGCATTAGGGAGCTTTCATAAAAATAGTTATAACATATAAGATAGAAAATATTGTATAAAATATTCATGTGTTGTATGTACATTTTACATACATAAATATTATAGTTTCATGCATTTACATAAATATGTAGCAAAGTATATATGTGTGTGTATGTGTGTGATCATGTAACAAACTTCATAGGATGGCAATGCATTTTTAGAATATGCTGTTTGAGAGAGGATATAGTGATCTAAAAAATGCTTACCATGAATTAACAGATTTAAATGAGTTTTGTCTCACTAATCACAATAACACAAACATTGTATAGTCAAACTTTTGGAGTTTAATAAACATATACTAATTATATAATATATATACGTGTGTATAATTCACACATAAAGTATATATAAATTTCATAATGATGGATGGATTGAAAGATGGATGGATAGGTAGGTAGGTAGGTAGGTAGGTAGATAGATAGATAGATAGATAGATAGATAGATAGATAGATAGATAATTTTGGTTGCCTAATTAGCCCTTTAAATTTTGGTAAATGAAAGAGTAAAAGGATAGGTGGATGAAAAGATGAATAAATCTTTCTATGTCTGTGACTGTGATATTAGCTAGAGCTTTTTTTAGTGTGGTACATAGTTCCCTGATTTCAAAGTCTTGACCAAGTACTGCTCTGATTTTCAGAATTCTTTGGCGATCTGGATACACTGATGGGGCCTCTGACCCAACACAGCAGCATGACCAATCTTGTCCGCTACGTTCGTCAGGGACTGTGTTGGCTGCGCATCGACGCTCATTTGTTGTAGTGGGTGCTCTCCCAGATCTAGCATCACCGCCCATCTCCCTACCTTTACCAGTGCCTTGATGGTCACTGGTGGAACTCCATTCATTTGGGAAAGTTCTCTTTCATTATGTTTGTTTTTATTCATTTTTGATATCTGTGGAAAACTGAAGTCATTGTTAGTGAACACTACAACTTCAGAGAAGTGTATGTTTTATTTTTCAATATTTGATATGCATTTCTCATATTGCATTATTTTTGTGCTTTATGGAATGAAAATCCCTACAATATTGATTTAAGTCCACATGATTCAAAGCAAAGAATGAGAAGCACATGTGATGATGAGAGGTTCCTAAGAACTCAAACAAGAGGTAAATACACATATGAACAAGGGACCTACCTGCAGAGATTTCAACAGTAGCCATTCCCCAAACTACACTCTTCAGTTCAGAAAAAAAATGTATTTCAGAATCCACTGTTAATCAATATCTGTGGTTCCCACAGACTAAATCTTCAGGTGAGAATCTCCATTGTCGAAACCCACAGATTTGATATTTTAACTACATTATATAGTCAAGAGTAGCAAGAAAAGTACAAGCATAAGAAATCTACTTTTGCAATGATACAGCCAGAAGACTCTTATTAACGTCCTGTTCCTGAAGACTTACTTTTCTACTATTTTAATGGTGAGAAGGAGGAGTAACATTTATTTGGATAACTTTATGGTATCAGGTTAACTCCTTATCTGGGATTCTCTTAGTGTAAAGCTCCATTTTACAAGGAGCAGTTTGGCAGATGCACATCTTAGTCCACACTCATCTTAGACTTGAGAAATCAGATTGGACTGAAAGATGTCCCCATGCCTCTGCTTCATTTGTAGCCAGTCGGCAAATCCTTAACCTAAAGTATTTTGAAAGATTTGCATATCAAATCTGTGAAATCAAAAGTCAAGTTATCCACTTCCCAGAATTAATAATGCACAATTCATTTCCTAGCATCCTCTCTACCTGGGCTTTCCAAATATTATCCACATTTTCTATTTTCTAGAACTTCTTTTCTTTCCCATTTCCTTTATTTCTTTCAGAGTAAAATACAATCATTGATTTTTATGAATGTTTGTATCAGTATAAATTATTTACATGAAAAGTCAAAAGAAAACACTAAACTCTGTAAGTAAGACATAACTTTTCTTTTCAAAAAACAAAAATCTTGGGGTAGTGCTTCACCCCGGAATCCTTGGAAATACTCCTGAATTTTAAGAGCAGTTTATCTAATTTGGAGCATTTCCTTATGAGTTATGATTATCTCTCTTTCTGATTCTCTACATTCATCTTATGTCCCTAAACATCACCCTGTAAATATCATCTTCAGAGTTCTAGCTCACCAGAAAATGTCTTCAACTATAGTAAACACTATGCATTCATTAGTTACTTGTAATTGCCTGCTGGCATATAATTCTGTGTAACCTTTAATCTGCTCAGTTACTGAATTGTGTTCACTGAGTTATGACCAGATAAATAATAGATATGTACATGAAAGGTGAAAACTTGTATGATTTCTAAAGCAAGTCATGCAGGTCTATGATAAGAACAGCAGGCATTCACTCTGTATTCTTATTGGAAATGTTAGGTATTTCCCCAGTTTCAAAAGAGCCACATTTGAGTTCTTCTCTGATCATACTTGAGTTTAAGGCCCTTTGATGTATAATAAAGTTATGGATATTGCATTCTAATGGCTAAAGCCATGCTGTCTCTATAGGTGATATGTGCACCCCGGCAGCTGAAACCTGCACTTTTTATGCTCCCAATGTGGTTGAGCTTCAAGTCTACAGTTTAAGCAACAATACTTACATATTGCACACACAAATGAAATCTAAACCTTTTCTGTGCCTCTTAAATGAGGAAAATGAAAATGTGAAACACAGAATACCCCCAAATGGCTGTCACATGAAAACCAAAAGAGCTGATGACTTTGCAGTAACTCAAGTTCTCTGTTTTCCATGCTCTACCAGGAAGCTGGCTATTACTTAATAATGATGTCTACCAGCTTGACTTGTAAATTAAACCTATTCCACAATTCTAGACCATCATAGATTTACACACAGATTCTTTTTGAAATTAAGTCTCCAGAAAATAGACATTAGAGTGATAGGGGCAGGGGCAGTTTTTCATAGAAACAAGCATACTGCACATAGGTAAAAGACTTGTAGCTCTAGTTTCCATAACTTGTTTTTATCTTCTTATATACAGCAGAGAGGCAAGAGGATGCTCTGTCATCTGTAGGGACTGAATATAAAGTGTCATGTCAGCACTAAGATTATCAAATGTGACAATCGAGCTCTGGATCACCACCTGACTATTTAGTAACTCACTTGTAACACAGCTTAGAAACTAATTAAACATGGAGAATGAATTACCTTTCTATCCCTGGAGATGAGAATCTTTGGTTTCCTGATTAAGATTTGTTACTGTTTGGGCACTCTGGTCATCACACTACAAATAGTGATGTGCATCATGGATGTGCAGCTACCTGCAGGATTGAAAGATTGAGGCCTTTGTCAAAGGAATCTCTTCGGTGTACCAGTTAAGTGGGAGGGATATGTGTAATGTGGACGGCAGTGACAGATTGTGCCTCTGGATGTTAGTGGAGGCTTGGTGAGCCACATCCAAACAAGTCTGTATAGGTGTGGTGATGGGAAGAGGAATAGGCAGTGCCCCCTCCCAAGCAAATACAAGACAAGCACAGCCCTACAACACGACCCAGGTAGGGCCAGCACTATGCCTTCATTTATCACACAAGCTCCAACCACAGAGAGTCTGACAAGTTTGTGTTATGATGTAGGCTTGGTTTTGTATCTTTAATTAGATTTGGATTTTTTAGTGGATTTGTCATATTACTGTCTGAGTTTTGTAAGTAGGATTAATTTGAAAAGAGTTTGATAGTGTGGTCTTTGGGGTAGAATTTACCTGTAAGCATGTTGTTTAGCCAGCCTATAGACTGTTAATTGCTTAATAATCTCATTGGGGAAAATTAGTAGTTTTATATTCAGATGACATAATTGGGAAAAACAGACTAGCTTCTGCTACTTTTTAAAGACTTAAGGTTGACATGTCTTTTTTCTTTCATGTAGTGAAATGAAAAGATCCAAATCTTTAGTTAAAAGTAGCAAAAATAGATGGCATTACCTAAAATGGGTTTTGTTGAGTTTCCAAGTGGATGGATGGCTAAGCGCAGGGGATTTGGTCTGTGTTGGAAAGATGCTAGTTCTACTGTACCTGAAGCTATCGAAATCAAAATTTGTTTTATCCAAAGTTGGATCCCGGAGGTTAAAGTTAGCGTTTGAAGTTGAAAATCACTTTTGAAGGCAGACTCAATTAAGTTGTGAGGGTGAAGCCCTTACTTCCTTCTCAACAGACGTAATAAAATTCCCCTGCATGAGTTAGCAGGAGGAAGAACCAAACTGGATCACTGGGTAGGATTACTCAGAAAAGCAACGAACTGCATGCTTAGAGAAGCATCACTATCCCCATTGAGAAAAAAATGTGTGGCAAGTTGAAACAGCTACACAGTATCAAACAAATGGGTGATTCAGTGCCCCTAAATTCAACTCTGTGGGGAGAAATACTGAGCCAGTTGTCAGTGTTGTGTTACAACTGGCAGACTCAATTCTTTGTCATTGTTGTTCTTGTTGTTGCTGTTGTTTCCCATTTCCACTCGCACAGCCTTATTCTCATAATTAAACTCTGAATCATTTTCTCTTTGGTGTTAGCAAACTCCAATGACAGAAATGGCATCTGTGTATTGATAATCAGCATTTACCCTGGCAGGGGACTAATCAGATAGGCTGGTCTCAGATAGTAATCCTACCATCTGATATTTCCAGCAACAGAGAAAATGTTAGTTTCCTTTCCATTCCCCTCCTCATGAATCTAGAAGCCCTCTGTACCAAAAGCATCACATTTTTTCTCTGTAATATTTTAACCAAAAGAAAATTGCATTGTCGGGAGGGCAGAGGGGGGTGTGGGTGGGGGGAGGAGGGTGGGGAGGTCCTTGGAGGCCAGACTGCAGTTCTTGCCCCTTCCTGCTTCTGACATAAAATGTTAAAGAATCATTCATAGTGTTCACACTGGGTTAGGGGACACTGAACTGCTTTTCAGATCCATGGTCAATCATTCTTCTGAGATTGGAGCTTTGCTGTTTCATTAACTGTGCAGTGTAGACTAATGGTGTTTAATAAAAATCATTCAAAATTGCAAACTTTTGCCAGTGACCTCTACTTTCTTGGCTGTTTGATTGTATCAGACTTTGAGGAGGGAAGGGGCAAACAAAAGAAACCTGCTAATGGGATGGTGGTGGGATACTGCAGTATCAAACCCAGGCCTGCATGCATGCAGGTAGTTGCCTGTGAGCAGTAGCATGCAGGACAGCATGCAGACCCTCTGGGAGAATGGCTTGATGGATGCTTTCCACTGAGGATACCTTGCTCATATGAAGAAATCATTGTTCGTCAATCTCCACAGAAGGAAGCCAGCTATTATATAATCCAGAGGGATTCCAATGCTTTACAGAGTTGGTTCTGTCCTATATCACTTATGTGGCTACAAAACAGACATGTCTCAGAGCACATCTCAATGTGGTGACAATAACCAAATGCATCCCAGTTGCTCCAGTCCTTCCATACCTTCTCAGAACTTTTACTGCAGAAAACACAGCTGGCTTAACCTTAAAATCCTGGGTTAATACTTGAACCTTTAGTGTGCCACCTTTATGAACTAGTTAAAACAAAACAGCTCATTTTTAGCATTTTCTAATTCACATGCTGTAAATTCTACCACCATAGCTGATAACAACCTTAGAACTGTGGCATTACTGAATACCACCATTTCCTGTGAGTCAAGCCAACTCCAGCACATTACTTGACACAACCAAAGAGGGTTCATGTTCCATACCTTTGTTTATGAGGATACTCATGTCTACAGCTACTTTAATAACTAAAACTATTATATAAGCTTAATATGAAGCAATATACTGGTAAAGTTAATTAATGATGAGACTTTGGGGATATTGGAAATTCTAGAAGTCTAACTTTAATCCGGTGCTAGCTGGACAGAATGAAATCCTCAACAGATGACAAGATGGATAGATCAGTGCAGAGGCATTTTCTCTGCATCTCAAAGATAACAAGGAAGTGAGACTAACACTTAGGAAACTATCATAACTCATTTTTAAATTTAAAGGATACAAATTTATCTTACTAACACTCTAAGCAGTGTCTCTAATTTTTAAATGTAATTTAGGTGAAATAGTTACAGGGTCTTGGTGAAGAAACACAATTAATTTGGAATTGTGCTTTTAATTGCTATATGGAAACACAGCAGCCCAGTCATATGCACATTGTTGATCATATGACTTTTGCTTCATTTCAATCTTTAACATTTATTCACAGTTAAAAGTTGCTACTCACTGTTGTAGCTCTGAGTCCAAACAAGAATATCTCCTCAAGCAATAACTATGATTCCCAAATGACAGTTCTTTTTCAGCATTTAGAAAGAAAGCTAACATCACTACCAAGAAGACAGAATCTAAGTTTTCATTAAAAATACATGACTTTATTAGACTTCTACCACAAATCTCCATGAGAGTGGACAGAAATGCTCAAAGAACCAGTTTCTGTGGGCCTACACATCTACAGTTAAGAGCCTTGTATAAAGGAAGGCCGAAGAACTTGACTTAGTATCTTAGTGTTCTTTAAACAATACCATGTTCTGTATAGGCTCAGTGCAAACCTTAGAAGAGATACATATCTTGCTCATACTTCCTAGCCTTTGTGCCATTTGCTTCTATAACTACAAAATGGCACGGTTTGTGGGATGTATCATTTCATAATATTCTTACAACTTTTATTCCTGCCAGAGAATGGTATAACATCTGGGTATGGTGAATGTGGCATTGTACTTATATGGGGACTCTGTGTGCTAGAAGCAATGAACTGGTTTTCATGGCTGCAAGGAACTACAAGTGTGTTTAACATCAGTTGGTGCATTCACTACTGCAGATCCATCCATCCTTGCTAATCAATCACTCCCTCGTGAATATTAAAAGTGAGATTGGATCAGTCTCTAGATGGCTTGTCAAATAGTTTCCTTCCTGGATGATTCTAATCTCTGGATATGTTAGAAAGGGCAATCTCTGAGATAAAATTCCTATGTATTTACTTAATGCTATGAATTAATTTTTTACTCTTATTTTCACCAAAGTAGTACTTCTGAAGAATTTTGATTTCAAAATTAACATGTGAAATGTGAGGTTTACAGAGACGAAATGCTTAGAAATGAACCCTGGGTTCAAAAGATACCTAAAATTCTCCTTTGTAAATCTCATTACATGAGTGATAAATACTTGGGGTCCTCCCAGAAAGAAACTAGCTAGTATCTATTCTGTTCTTGTGGTGGTGGCTGTGGTGGAGGCTGTAGAAGGAGCAGCGGGCTGCGTTCCTGCCTGGATCCCAGCTAGCTTACTCCCGAAATAATTACATGAAGACTGTATTCTTTTAAACACTGCCTGACCCATTAGTTCGAACCTCTTATTGGCTAGCTCTTAAGTATTGATTCAACCCATTTTTAATAACCTGTATGTCACCATGAGGTCGCGGCTTACCGGGAAAGATTCAGTATGTCTGACCTGGCAGCTTCATGGTGGGCAGCTCTCTGCCTCTGCCTTCTTTCTCCCACAATCCTGTTGTCTTCCCCGCCTATCTATGTTCTGACCTATCAGGCTAAGCAGTTTTCTTTATTAATTAACCAATGAAAGCAACAGATAGATAGAAGACCCACCTACATCAGGAGGCTGTACTTATTGCAATCTGTCTCACACTCTCCCTCCCTCCTTTTCTATCTCCCTTGATTTCCTTCATTTTCTGCCTCTCTTTCTTCCTCCCTCTCTTCCAAACACTTTCGAATGGTGTCCCTGCTGATGCTGCTTCTCTCTCCAAACAAATATTTGAATTAATTGCAAATTTCTGAATTGTTCTTGTTCATCCCCTTAAGACAGAATGAATTAATCAAAATAGATATATCTTGATTTAAGATGTGCCACCTGGAAAGGCACACTGTATTATGAAACCATAGTAGAATGATAACTGCAATTTTACATGGTATATATATATATATATATAATGTATGTATATATATCATGTATATATATACATATATACACATACAGTGCTGATTTAATTCATACATATATTTGGACCTCTGTTATGCAGTTTTGGAACAAGTAGAATGATTGCTGGCAAATGAAAAACTGCTTATATAAGGACATTTTTGATAAACTTTAATTGGAAGTCTGGCATTAGCAAATAAAGATGTTGTTGGAACCACTGTAAATACAATAACAAATCTTCCTTCAATTAATTTCCCAGAGCACTTCAGTTGAGCGATTTTATGTTTATCTTGTTTTTTTCCTCTTCTAATTTTGGAAAGTGGGCTGTTCTTATTCACTGAAGAATTATTTTGATTGCAATTCCTTCTTCCCCTTTAAAATATTGAAATTGAAATCATTAGAAAACTTGATTTATGCCAGGAAACTTATTATCCAGGAATGCAATCTTGAGAAATATTGATAGGTTACCAAAAAAAGAACACACCCTCTTTGTTGTGTTCTTTGAGCACACAGAGAAACAAATGGTAAAAAGGAAAGAGGTAGTTCTACAAATTAGTGTTTTTATAATATCCCCTGAGACTTAATGTAGTTTAATAAAGGATTCCACGTATCTTACAATAAGTTACTTGATGCATACAAATACCCATGAGAGTTGCCAGGAGTATCTTCTTCGTGCTCTGTAGTGCATTAACTTGACTAAGTTAATTGTGTCCATTTATATTATTTCATATTATTCCCAGAAAGACGTACCAACAATATACAAGTGAAAATGTGACTCTGTAACATTTTTTTATTCTTCTGGGAAGGGAACAGAAGCAACATCTTCATGCATATTTTTAAAACAAATATTTTACATGTAACTGTGTGTAAAATTTTTATTGATTAACTAAGAAACAAATTGGAATACGCCAACATATGCTTTTTCTGTGTATTGGAGACACTGACAACATGTCTCTTGACCACTGCTGTATCAAGCCATAACTATACAAGTCGTGTGTGTGTGTGTGTGTGTGTGTGGGTGGGTGGGTGGGTGGGTGTGGCATCTGGTTGCCTATATATGGAATTTTTATTTTTCCTTACTGAAAATCATTATTTCACAGTTACAGGAAGTCATGGCTACACTTTATAGGAAGAGAGCATTTCAAAATAAAAACGCTCTTTTCTTGGGAGCTTATGTAATAATATCGTGACTCAAATCAAATGGTTTCCATTGGCTTTTGTTAGAAACTTAAACATGATAGGAAAGACACAGGCTATCTCAGCTCTAAGAACATGGATGGAGTTGAGCACTCATGGTAGAAATTTGCTTCAAGCCTCTACTCTGATCTGTGGGGCTAATATTTAGCCTGGGCTCTTTCCAAGTGAACAAAGGAACATAACCATTAGGAATAGCCTTGCCTACATCCTAAGAAAAAGTTCCTGAGACCCTGTCCCTACGAGATGCCTCTTCCATACTGATGGCCTTCCAGGTGGCCATTAAAACGCAATGATCATTCAGGAAATACTGTTTTGACTTTAGCAATTATCCTTTTGAATCACTCCTTCATCAGTGTAGAATGCCAATATTCACACCATCACTGCTCTTAATAAGCATGCTTTTCTCATCAGAATTTCAGTGAGTTCTGATATTCTGTATAGGCTCAACTTAATTGTTTAACATCAGTCAATTAATGAACTGTCTGTCATCTGGTTTTTAAAATCTGACTTCATGTGCCTTATATGGATAAACTATCTACATACATGGCTTTGCATTTCAAATGTGTGGCACACGTGTCTTTTCCTGTTTTGTTGTACAATAATTCTATATACAATCATTTTTAATGTGGCTTATTACCTCCCAATAAGATGGCTC